TAATAAGTCCTCTAGAGGGGTGCCAATTGGCAAGGTTAGAGCCATCCCTTCACTCTTGTTAGAGTCAGGGGTTTGAACTCATGACCTCCTCTTGAGAGAAAGAATGGTTTTACCACTTAACCAACACCTCATTCACAAAATTATGATATTCATGAAACAATTTTTGAGTTGTAGGTAATGCAACCTGATGCGATCCTGGATGGCCCGTTAAGTGTCATACCTAACTATGATGATCATTACATTGATTGTGATCACATGGGGGTGTATAGTATCATATTGAGGTTGGAATTAAGGATGATGGAAGATTGAAGCCAAAATATGTTTAGCGTCAAGCTAGAATCAAGTCGACAATGAAGTCAAAAGAATCACGTCGACATGATGGTCAAGGAAATGAGGTAGACGAGAAAGATGACAAGGTGTGCATCAATGATTTAGCCGAAAAGAAGCAATCAATAAAGATGAATGATGTGGAGATCCAAGGTGATCAAGCTCAAGGACAAGTCAATGCTCAACCAAGTAATCAAGTTCGAGCTCAAAGAGTGATTCAAGATCCATTAGCTAATATTGGAGGTCCTATAACGAGGTCTTGAAGGAAGAAAATGAATGAATCCTCAACAACTTGTTCATGGATGTTCAAGCTCTCAATGTGGATTCAATTCCATTGGTTCCATGCTTATATTGGAGTGGAACCGATTGGGTTGTTAACCAAAACGCAATTCTTCATCTTTCGAATCTTCCATTCTTTTTTGTGCATATTTTTGTGGTTTGCATCCAACTTTTCTTCTTATTTTTGTGTGGATTGGAGTCTTTTCCATAGGTGTCGCAAGTTATCAAGTCTTGAGAAATTCATAGCTTCCGCTTTTGAGGTAATTCAATCATCTTGTCTCAAGATTCGTATCAATTTGGCCTCAGAGCTTCAGTTCTTGATTCCTTGCATGTGTTTTGATCTTCTAAAGCGCATCTTTGGTTGATCTCTGTGTGTTCTTCAATAATTTTGTGTCTTTTATCATATATCTCACTATTTGCTTCGAAATTGTTGTTGATTGAATGTGTTTGAAGTTGAATTGTTAGATTCGGTTTTACTGAAAATTAATAGTGGTGCAGCGGCTTGTGTGTTTGCTATCTTGGGTTTTTATTTTTGGATTTTAGGGTTCCTTAGCCCTTAATCCACGAATTTTTTTGCTTAAAAAAAGAAAAATAAAGAAAAATAAAGAAAGTAGTTGGAAAAAAAAGAAAAGAAAAATAAAAAGGCAACATATTGAAAGGAAAGTATCTTCTTTTTAAAGCTATATTAAATCTTACCTTATTTAAGGAGATTTGAGAGTGTGCATTCAAAAGGAAAGTATCTTTTTAAAGAGGTATATCCAAGGTTACTTTATTTGAATTATTTGCACATTATTTTTTACAATAATTGGAGGTTGGTGCCTAGGGTTTTTCAAAAAATATAAGCCCTAAAATTTGTGTGGTGGCCAAGAACTAGGGTTCCTTCTATAACCCTAAATGGAAGCTTAAATTTTAAAAATTTGCTCCAAGTTCTACTAGCCCTTTTCATGAGATCTAAGTTTCATAATTGTAACTACTCGATCTATATTCGTGTTCTTCCTTAAATCTTATTACAATTATTCAGAACCATACTTTTTGGCCCTCTTTAGTCAATTGCACAAAATAGAACTAATCTTCATTGCACTAAAGATTGAAGGACAAAGATCGGGGTAAGAAAAGAGTGAATCCATCCCTTATTAAATTCTAAACCTTCTTGAGTAATCTTGGGGAGTGATTAGTATAGTTGGGAGGGGTAACGAGGTAGTGAGTTCTTCGATATTCTATTTCCTTGTGTGTGTTTTTGTGATGTTATAAGCAAGGTGTAATGGGATTCTATGATCATTTTGATGATGGTAGAGTTTATGATGAAGAGTATGGTGGACTTTACTATAGTCCTAAAAGAAAGTTTCCCAAGTTCTATGACCAACGAGATGAAGATGAATATCTTGATTGGGAGTTACGTGTGGAAAGAGTGTCTTGTCTTAATGACTTTTCAGAGACTAAGAAAGTAAAATTCTCCATGTCCAAATTTCGTGGAAACGCAATTACATGGTGGATGGATCTTGAGAGAGAAAGAAAATGGTTTGGTGATCCTCCTATTGTTTCTTGGGAAGTGCTTCATCAAAAACTTCGAAAGAATTTCGCTCCTCTGTTATTGAAACAAGAGAGACTTTGAAAGCAAGATGAGCGGAGAATATATGATGAGGAGCAAGCTGTGTTGCAACAAATTTATGATTCTCAAGAGACTAGGTGACAAGAGATCTTAAAATCTCAAGAGATCATGCAAGAAATTCAAATTCAAATGCAAAGGATTATAGAGTCGACCAAGAAAATGGAATCTTCTTTCCAACAATATGCTGAGGAGGAAGAGCTTAGATTACAACATGTTGCGGAAGAGAAAGAGAAGAAAGAATGTGAAGAGTGTCAACATGAGTTCGAGCAAGATATCTAAGATTTGGTTTCGGAAGAAAATTTTTCTAACAACATAAATTCTTCTATTGTTTCTATTTCTTATCCACAGGTTGAAAGTGTTGTTGAAGAAAATAACTCCATGTCATAAGATTCTAATATTTTACATCTTGATGTTGATATTGAGGAGTCGAATGATTTGCCATTGTTTGAAGAGGTTGAGCCCAAGATACAAGATTCTTCTTTGATGGATAATTTCTATGACATATTTGATTTTATTGCGGTTCCTATGGAGGAAGAAGTTCATCGTGCCTTAAACTCTATGTCAAGGTGGAATTACTATCAAATTAGTAGAATTGTTGGTCATGGTGACTATATTGTTGATGATGTTCAAGATACTACGACAAATGACAATGATGAGAAAGTAGTTATGGAGAATGTTCCTATCACAATAGATATTTCAGTCCCTATTATTTCTACATGTTTTTTGCTCAAAGTGGTTGATGAACACGAAGATCTAATTCTCATGGATTTATATGAAAAGATTGAACATGTTGATTTTGTGTTTGGTGATATATTCTCACGAGAAGTTCTGGTTCCCCAAAATTTCTCAAAATTCTGGATAGTTGATGATCAATGGAGGTTTGTGAAGAAGCATAAAAAGACCATGAAGAATTTGTTCCTCTGGAATAACATGAAACATGATTCGAGGACAAATCGTTTCGAGGAAGGGGGGAATGATGCGATCCTGGATGGCCCGTTAAGTATCAATACCTAACTATGATGATCATTACATTGATTGTGATCACATAGGGGGTGTATGGTATCATATTGAGGTAATTAAGGATGTTGGAAGATTGAAGCCAAAATATGGTTCGCGTCAAGCTAGAATCAAGTCGACAATGAAGTCAAAAGACTCACGTCGACATGATGGTCAAGCAAATGAGGTAGACGAGAAAGATGACAAGGTGTGCATCAATGATTTAGCCGAGAAGAAGCAATTAATAAAGATGAATGATGTGGACATCCAAGGTGATCAAGCTCAAAGACAAGTCAATGTTCAACCAAGAAATCAAGTTTGAGCTCAAAGAGTGATTCAAGATCCATTAGCTAATATTGGAGGTCCTATGACGAGGTCTTGAAGGAAAAAAATGAATGAATCCTCAACAACTTGTTCATGGATATTCAAGCTCTCAATGTGGATTCAATTCCATTGGTTTCATGCTTATATTGGAGTGGAATTGAAGCTTTTGGTGCACGTCGAGCTCTTGATCGAGGAGAAGAAACCAACAAAGAAGTTGACGAGCTGTCGTCGAGTTCAAGGCCAAGCCAACGAAGTCGACAACAAAGCTGACAGGAGTGCGTCGAGTAGGCTGTTGGTGACAACAAAGTCGACAGGAATGCGTCGAGCAGCATGTTGGTCGACGAGGAGGTCGAGGCGCGCGCGGCAGAATTTTGTGTTCTTCCTAATTCGAATGAGAAAATGATTTTTCGGTCATTCAATCCTTTTGGCCGACTCTAATACATCTCTAGAAGATTCTAGATGGTTTTAAATAATTGTGACATGTGCAATTATTTATTTAATTATTATTTAAATCTATATTAGGAAACTTAGGTAGACAAATCCGATTTGAACTTGTATTCAGATTTCTTTTTGTCTAAGCCGACCTTGCCAATAAATAGAGGGGGCTGGTCGACCAAAATCATATACTTTTGATGATTATTGATATTTCAATATGAGACGAGAGGAAACTCTTTGTTATTTTTCTATTCTTTTCGAAGATTAGTGCATTGCACACTTGTTTGTGCTTTGTTGACACGTATACGTGATTTTAAGTGTTGTTCAGGTGTGGAGCTTTGTTAGTTTGTTCATTGGAGCCTTTTCGCTGCCATTCTATCCATAAATCGAAGGGATAGGGTTATTAGAGAGGAACCGATTGGATTGCTAACCAAATCACAATTCTTCATCTTTCGAATCTTCCATTCTTTTTTGTGCAAATTTTGTGGTTTGCATCCACCTTTTCTTCTTATTTTCGTGTGGATTGGAGTCTTCTCCATAAGTGTCGCAATTGATCAAGTCTTGAGAAATTCATAGTTTCAGAGTTTGAGGAAATTCAATTATCTTGCCTCAAGATTCGTATCACACCGGACTGATAATTTTACCAGTAGTAATGCCATTATCTGGTGTGTTAGGGAGTATTTTAGGATTAAGAACACCTCATTTTAATCTAATAGTTTTATTAATCTTAATGATTTGACGGTTATTAATATCTACTGGACTATTCAGTCGATTGGACCATAATCACTCCCTATATATATGTATATATGTATATATATATATGTATATATAGGATTTGATAAACAGTATTTCGATGACACATTTAAAAGAAATTTGATGATGAATAAATTCAGTTAAAACTTAGAAGAAATATAATACTACTACTAGTATCTAAATAACAAGGACCTCTAGTAGTACTACCTCCTTTCCCAATAGGATCTACCCCACTGCAATAGCTTAGGTACTTCTAAAGCATCATTAGGTGCAGCCTAAATAAAAAAAAAAAAAAACAAAAAAACAAGGACGAGCAAAAAGCCAAAACCATGGAAGGTACCTGCTAATTGAAAACTGCTACAAATTGTTTTTATTTTGGAAAGGAAAATATTTTTGAGGAATTCTTCCTCCTAAAGCCTTTTGTGTCCCACACAAAGTTCATCAAAACAACGTGAGTAGAACGTCAACCATCTTCCTTCCCCTCATTACAATCACAACTTCCACATCCAAATCGTGTTTGTTGCCGCCTCAAAATCCAATTCCTAGGACTACCCATCTTGTCCTTCACTCTTATAATCAAATCCCCTTCTTAAAATCTCCAAAGAAGGAATCAGCGTAAATGTGTTGACTAAACTGTGAAGGGAGTGCGGGAGGACTGATATGGTATTGAAGATGGCATCAGTATTACCAGGAGTCAATTCTGGTGCTATTGCTAACAGTAATGTTAATGAAGCGTGGAGAGCCCATATGGCAATGGCCTTGGTTCAGGTCTTCAATGGAGGCTATCATGTGATTACAAAAGTTGCTCTTAATGTGGGAGTCAATCAGATCGTTTTTTGTGTGTATAGGGACCTCCTTGCTCTCAGCATTCTTGCCCCAATCGCTTATTTTCGCGAAAAGTTGGTTCCTTTTATCTAAATATCAACGGTTTGTTAGTAGTAGTATTAATTTTCATTGAAATTGTTGTTGATAAATTGTTTCTTTTCCGAAGTTCAAGTTCCTTTTTTGTTTTGTTCCAAATTATGAATATAATTGATAGGAAATGCATTGTTGAGGAAATAAGAGTAGCACCAAATGTCTGAAAAGAATCTGTCTGTTTGTTAATCCATTGAGTCTTTGTATAAATTGAGAAAAACGTATGCTAGACCCTTGAAACTTTGGGATGGAAATCTGCAGGTATACACACGAAAAGATACAAGTACGTAAAAAGACATTGGACCAAATGATTACAAATGATGTTCATATATGCTACTGGGTAATCTGTACTGAAGCCAAGATAAATAGTTTTAGATGTTAAATGAGTACGTTTTGATTAAGAATCTTCAATATGTGTTTCCTGTAGAAATAGCTTAGCTTAGGTTTATGGTAAGTCAGTATTCAGACAACTTAGATCTATAAGTAGAAGAGAAGCGGAAGGTTTTGAGAGTCGCTGATCATTCCAAACCTGGCAATGTTTCTGGACAGTTTCAGTTGAGTCTGGGGTAGGTATTTCTCAAAGTGTCTGTGTATGATTTTGACCTGATTAGAGCAGGAAGGTGCTCACTGGAACTTTGGTCCTTTTTGTTGACAAATTTCATTTTCTAGCTTGATAGACATTTTAACAGCTAAACTATAGTTTGCCTCTACTTTCAATAAGCTTGAAAATTTTTCTACTCATTGTCTGTCGGTTTATTATTTTAAAAAATTTCTTTGTTTCGTGCATTGTATGTTTATCATGTTTCTGTTCTCGACATATCTGTAAAAGATCCGAGCTTAATTAGTTCTTCTTTGTAAGACTTGATGAAACTTGAAATCAAATTACTGGATAAGATATATGCCAATAGGTGACAATTGGTACTGATGAGGAAGCTGTATACGTAACTTCAGACAAAAATATGTTTCATCATCCGTATTTAAAGTAAACAAAATGTTGAGGCATACGTTTCTACCTTGGACTGATTGTTTATAGTGTTTTGTTTCAATGGATTTTCTATCTTCATTTTTTGTGGCATTGACATGCTGAAGCAAAAGACAAACAATCCAATTTTCGTTGACAATGCATTTATAACTGACAACTTTCTTTTAATTCTGTCACAAACTGGGGTGTTCATGTGTAGTATTCTGATTTCAAGTTTTGATACTATTTATTTCCATGCTGCATTGTAGAAGGATTAGACCTCCTTTGAACAGACGGCTTCTCTTGTCATTCTTCTTTCTTGGATTAACTGGGTAAGTTTAGTACTTTTAACTTATTTCTAGCTGTTCTCTCTTTAGCTTTTATCTGGTACTGACCAATACCAGTTTCTAAAACTTATTTAATTTTTACAGGATTTTTGGAAATCAACTTCTGTTTCTTATTGGCCTCGGATACACTAATCCATCATATGCTGCTGCTATTCAGCCTGCCATTCCAGTTTTTACATTCATATTAGCTGTTTTGATGGGGTTAGTGTTGATTACAGGGTTTTCTTGCCCGCCCTTTTTTTGTGGTTGGATTTTGCATGTCTTATTGGGAAGTGTTGTTGCCCATTTTTTTTTTTTATTTATTTTTTTTGTTTCCCTCTTCTTTTATGCTTTGTATTTTTTATTTATGAGAGCCGTTTTGGTATAAAGTAAACTTAATACTTTTTATGCAGTACAGAAACGGTGAATTTGCTTAAAACCGAGGGTCAAGCTAAGCTGGGTGGTACTATTGTATGTGTTTCCGGTGCAGTTTTAATGGCTATGTTCCGAGGCCCTGCTGTGTTTGGGCAGCCAGATTCAGACTTGTTATCGCATAATGAAATTATTGCAAAAGGTCAGCCCGAGCCTAGTGGATGGCTGATGTCCAGTTTTATGGACTACGGGCTTGATCATTGGCATTTGGGTGTCCTGTGCTTAATAGGAAACTGTATGTGCATGGCAGCTTTCCTGGCCATTCAGGTACTTAATTGTCGACTCTTTTTGTTATATTTTTGTATTGAACTTACTGCCCATGATAGCTGAAGTTTACTTCAGAGAGAATTGTATTCATAGCTTGCACTGAGAAAAGAACAGATGACCATCCAATACTTATCATTTACTGGGGTGGCAAACCATTTTTAGTTTCTGCTGCTCTTACCAAAGTTTAACAATTGTGGAAATTGATGCTATGCTGCTTTCTGCATATTCGTCCATCAAGAAATGTCTGTGGAGAGTATATCATTGTGATTTGCATTAGACTTGCAAATGATATTTGTATCTCAACTAACAGATTATCATGTGGCCCTTTAAATATAATGGTTTCTACGCAAATGTCTATGGCAGTATCAATATTTACATTTAAGGTTTTTCCGTTGTGTTGGAGCTACTTCATGTTACCTGGATTATTGCGATGCATGACCTTTATTTCCAATTTCTCTAAAGTGAGAGCATCTTTAATACAAAATCAGTAATACATGTGGCTTTTGAGGGTGATGAATAAGAAGCCAGTATGTCTGCAATTAACTATTACTAGTATGTCGGCTTTTTTAATGGTTGTTTTAACTCTTTGTAGACTTTTTTCTGCAAAATCTATCCTCAAACTGGTTTCGTTATGGTTGGTTCTTTGTCATGTTTCTGGGGTTATGTCTCGCATTTCAGCCCTACTCTCTTCCAGTACCCAATTTACTTAAAAATCAGACAAATCTTCAGTAAAGTCGTTTTCTTGCTCGAAGTTTGTTCATTTTATCCGGAAGCCTTAAGAAGATCCCCCCCTTTAGTTTCTTAAACTAATTTTAGGCCAAAACTCCAAGAATACAGAAAGGTTTTTTTTTTTTCCAACATTATTACTTGTTTAAAAGTTTCCATTTGATTTGATACTTACTGCAACAAATTGCATTTGTTTCTATGCTCTCAGTCTTGTTCTATATAAGGATTAGGGCCTCATCCATCAGCCATTGTATGCGGGCTGTTACAATTTGGTTTTTTCTACATTCTTACTGCTTTATCCTACATGTGCATGATACCTGAGGGAAAGAGAAATTCTGGGAAAGCTCTAGTGCGTGTTGTATTGGTAGGAACTAATGTTTTAGAAACTTCAGTCTAATGGTGAGACTCCTCAGAATTACAAGGCACAGAACATATCCTGCATCCTGTGAGAAGCGTAATGATAATTTATAACTTATTGTTACAACGTTTTTCCCTTCTCTGATAGAGAGCTTTTCATGCCTCTATCATCCTTAGTAGGAGTATGAGAAAAATCAGTCACTATCATTTTTACAATATATTTCTGATCAACAATAGTTGCCAACTATGATCAATTTAAATTTGATGGTCCTCTTCATTAGTAACTTTTCATGCATGAAAACAAAAGGATTAAAGTGGTCAGATAGGCTTCCATCCAGTGCCATAATGGCTTAGCAAAAATGGATCTTTGGTTTATAATTGTTGGAACCTGGTTCTTTTGGCCCCTCATCTATCTTTTTTTTTCCTTTTTTTTCCCCCTGTTTTCATCCCTTCTATTGTAGCAATTAGAGTCATAGTTGAATGCACAAATCTGGTCCAATGAAACTATAGTAAGTATTGATTTACCTGAATCCAGTTTCATTTTACCTGGTTGGTAAAATGAAACCGCAGAATTTGTGCATGTAACTGTTGATTGGACCTACCTTGATGTTACTCAAAGGTGAGTGGATTTATTTGTCAGCTACAGAGGGAGTGAAAATGAGGATATTGCTAAGATGACTGACGAAATACAAAAGTGCCTTTACCTTTTCAAATGGCTTATCTACAAATATCTTTTGCAGGAAAATAGGTTTACTATTTCTTAATTTTTTAAAGTCGATCTTGCTTGGGTCAAATACATATGATTTGGTGCATGCATAAACTTACTAGATAGGAGAGGATAAGAGGTAAAACTTAATGTGAATGCCTTGGAAAAGCGTCACTTAGATTGCTTGGCAAAAATTTTACTTTGCTGGGTCATTCTTTGGATCATGAAGAGAGATGAGGGAAGTAACATGGATGCAGCCTTTAAACTTGTGTGTCCACCATAACTAAAAGGATGTGCCTACAGATTGAACTTTTGAATATAGCCTCAAAATCCAAAGGTTGTCAGTGATATTAAAGAAGTTCATTAACTGTAGTTTTAATTCAAGTGATGTCAAAAGCGTTTTGCTCATGGAGGCTGACAAAAATACATAATTTTAGAACACCCATTGTTTTTTGTTCAATCATTGATTGTTTTCTTCGTTTGATATGTTACAGGCTCCAGTTTTGGCAAAATATCCTGCAAGCATATCAGTGACAGCATATTCATATTCTTTTGGGGCGTTGTTTATGGTTTTGACTGCGTGTGTAACAACGGGTCAATCGGCTGATTGGAATTTAACTCTATCTGAGTCTTTTGCAGTATTGTATGCTGTAAGTTTCTGTTAAGTTCAGCTCTTTCTTCTTTTTAGTTTACAGAAATATATAGATTTTTAAGGTATTAGGTGGGATGTACAGGATTAAAATGAATATTTGACTCGTGCTTCATGATGTATGCTGAATAATGATCGGTTACTTTACTTTGGTTTCCTTCTATGTGACACTGAGCTTTTAAGGGCTAATGCAACTTTGAGGTACTTATTCCAATGTTTTTGCTGCTGTGAACTTTATTGGGTGCCTGGCTGGCTCTCTGGTATTCATGGAATTTTATGCTAAGCTTACAATCAAGTTTCCTCACTAACTGTGGCTGGATTTTAATATACAAACAAATGTTCTAGCAAGAGGTTGTTCAGAAAATAGATAGTTTTGAAATATTGATGGCAAGTGTTCATTGATTAAAAGACAGCGGTTTATGTAGAAGATATTTACAAAATGTGGCCAGCATACTTGCAAAGTCCAGGGTTGGAATGCATTCTGTTGTAACTTATTTTGTAAACTTGTCAGTTTAGCTGTTTATTTATGTAGATGAACTTCTAACTGGGATAACTTTTCAGTTTCTGTCTGTTAGAAATTGATTTAGCATGTTGGAAATTGCTTTGAGGGTTTGTATCTGAATGTGTGCTCTTGACGTGCATGTGTATCCGGTATTCTATCATCGTGGCTGATCTTTTTTTCCACAAATTTGCCTTTGTTGAATGATGAATTGGTTCTGTTTTCTAATACCTTTTTATTTCTTCCTGGAATGTTGTGCGGAAGGTGTGTTTGTGGTGTGGGGTTGGTGTGTGTGTGTGTGTGGGTTTGGGGGGTTTGTCCTTGTTATGTTGGGTCAGGGATTTGTAATGGATCCCCTCCTGTATGTTGAATAAGAAAAAGGTTACACGACGTGGGACATCTGACCTAACCCTTCACTTTCAGAAACATATTTTCCCAACAGAACAATGGTCCTTGAAAGTGAGAATTGCCAACAAAAGTAGCCTAAGAAACTGACTGCTCTTGCTGAGAGTAGCTTTTCCTGAATGGGCTGTTCTTGGTCTTATTCTAGTTTAAAATAAGGTATATGATTCATTATGTTGAGCTAATTTCTTTTCTGCAGGGAATTATTGCATCTGCTGTCAACTATGGACTTTTGACATGGTCTAACAAAGTTATTGGTCCTTCTTTGGTTGCCCTTTATAACCCACTTCAGCCAGCTCTTTCAGCATTTCTCTCAAGAATTTTCCTCGGAAGTCCTATATATCTGGGAAGGTTATACTCTCAAAAACAGACATTTCTATTTTTCCTTTTATGAAACTACCTGAACTCCTTGAAAATATGAAACTGTGTGATTTTTTTTAAGTTATATTATTTTGGTGACCTAATACTATTGATGCTAACATTCTGAATGATCAATATACGTGACAGCATTCTGGGAGGATTTCTCATCATCGCAGGGCTTTATTTGGTCACTTGGGCTTCCTACAAAGAAAAATATGGAATGGTTGGTGTTATCCCTCATTCTTCCCGACAGGCCGAGCCTCTCATACCTCGAGACTCATCTCTAAACAAGATTCCCTACCAGATAGGTAGCATTTTCTCTGGACCTTCCACCTCGATACAAAAGATTGTTGACTAATCGACATGCAGGATACATTAGTGAGTCATACAGAATGTATTAGACTTTTTTCTTAAATATTTTTTTACCCATCTCATAAATTCTGGTATCAAAGTCTATACAAATTTTTCTTATGAAACCTTGATCATAGACTTCCACGTGAATTACAGTATAAGGCTTGTCCTTTCTCAATACATATGATTCCTTTATTCGGAATTTTACATTGACGGTATTACATTCTACTTGAAAGACATTGCTTAGTTGTATAGATATGGACATATGGAGAAGAATCCATCTTTACCAACTTCTTAGAAAATTAGGTTCTGATGAGTTGTTTTTTTGCTTATTTTGATAGGCATAGAAAGTTTTCGTAATCCCGCTGCCAGGCCCTCCTTGGAGATAGGATTACACAAACTCTGAATGAGTCTATCCTCATAATCACATTGATTGCTTTCTGATTCTCAGTTACAAAGTTTTCGATTTCGCAGCCATTTGGTTGAAGTGGAGTAGTTACAGGTTGATCACAGATCCATTTTACTTGGCCATATATATATATATATATATATATATATATATATATATATATATCTGGCATCAACTCCAGTTACTACAGTGTTCTCTGCTGCAACATGCAAGATCCTCCATTGATTTAGTAGACATTAGTGGTACACTGTTAGTGAACGAATTGAATTGTTTGGGAGTAGGTAAACGTTCGACCCAGGTTTCATTGATGCCAAACTTGAAAACTGGTCATACGAGAGATTAAATAAAATAAATGTAATTGTGGAAAAATGTAACATACATCAAGTTCAATATATTCCCTCTGTTCCAAAATTATTGTCCAGTTCAAGATTTCACTTTTAGTACAATTTTAACTAGAAATGAAAACTCAAACCAGATAATAATTATGGGACGGAGGGAGTAACTCTGAACTCAGTTGCAAAACAACTAGGAGCCCAATTGAGGTCAAAGTTGATCACACACAAAAAAAAATCACCCTGGAGTTGATGGAATGGCAGTTGGTCCGCGACTATGAGAGATTCGAATTGACTACGTCATTTTTTATGATCGTTGAATTATAGTTTTGTTTTGTTAAACTGTTGTTTGAGCTCTAATTTAAACACCCTAATCCTTATACAACTCAATAAGAGTTCCCCAACTGGTCAGTTACACCATTCGTTTCTGCATCACACGCAAGTTTATATTAGGAATCAATTTTTCCAATAATTTTTCCATCATTTTTTTCAGTTTGTCATCTTTATTAATGGGTTTTTTTGGGTCTAAAATTCTAAACTAGCTTAATAAAAATTAATAAATTATACTCCTCTGTTCTAAAATTATTGTCTAGTTTGAGATTTAACTTTTAGTACAATTTGAACTAGAAATGAAAACTCAAATTGGATAATAATTATGGGACGGAGGGAGTAAAATTAATACGCAAACAAGCTGAATCATTTACCATTTCCGAGCACACTTTTTTAAATTATTAAACTTTCAACACTGATGGACTCGTATTTTTGTTTTTTTATTTTTCTTATTGGGTTATATTTTTAACTGAAACATAATTGACAAGCTTTTTCTAAACAAAAAGAAAAATCCCTGCAACGGGATACTAACATAGTAGAGAATACGCTTATGGACTTAGCCTCAGAATCAACTCATACCAGTGATGACATAGGTGAAAATTGACTAAATGAGACTATTTCTGTAAAAAAAAAAAAAAGTCCAGGTTAAATTTTTAAATTTATGATATTTTTAGTATAAATTTTAAAATTCAATGTGAACTATTTTTATTTTTTTTTTTGTGACAGAGGAGTTTTTTTTAAAAGAATGCTCCGTTCTCCAAGTTTAAAATGGGAATTAATTAATATTAGGAAAGCAAATGCCTTGGTGAGATCGAGTAACATTAGTAACGAAACTTGTTAATCCAAATCTGACTCATTTTGCATCTTTTGGCTTTAAAACAACAAAACTTTATTGGCTTTGGTCGATCAATCACATTTTCCAGCCGCGTGAATCCTCGTTATCCTTATCAACGACAACTGCGAATAATTCAACTTGTGAGTTGATGGCATTTGGGAATAGAAACACATGGTGTGCACTGTGTGGTGTTTCTGGTTTTGCAAGTTAGTTTAGTGGTGCTCATGGTTTTCATGTCAACTGTCAAGTGACAATACTGCATACTACATTATTGTTTGTTATTATAAGAGAAACTCGTAAATGTTAATGGTCATAATTAATTTGTCTTGTTTGTTTTAATTGAACTATGGGTCTTGTCGTATATTCACATCGCCTTACTTGAAAATGGGATATTTATCTAGCTAGTTTCAGGTCTTATTACATATTGTCATTCCCGTTTTATATGTATAAGAAAATAGTTTTCTTCATCCATGTATATAATTCTTCCTTTTATCAGTGCTTTTACAATTGGATTGGATGGGAAGACAGTTTTGTATTCTTTAATCCTTTTTTGTTTTACTACTCCGGCTAATATTGTTATGATATTCTAAATTTAAAAATTGAGGTGTAAATGCGACGCCATGTAATGTAAGTGAATTTTATTTTATTTTTTTTTAAAAAAGAAGAATTTTGCTATCACGTCAAATTCATAAATAGATAAAGATTTTCAAGTTTTTAGTTTCCAAAAAAGGAAGAGCACAAGTTCTTCAGTGTGACAGGTGATTACATTCTTGCATTAATTATCATTCTAAAAAAATCTTTTCATTGTTGTTTATTTATATCCACAAATAGAAAAAAAATTAAAAAAATCAAAGTAACCTGGATGATCTTAAACAAATATTTTCTTTTAAAAAAATGATTTCTCAGGGAAAAAAATAGGGAGAATGGGTCTTTTCATCCTAAGGTTTGAGCCACACCACTTAAAACATCTCAAAGTTTAAAAGCATGTCATTTTCATTCCAAACTTTTTAAAAATATGTAATATTAGGACATTTGTTAATTTTTTCAAGTTATTAACGGCAATATTTCATTCAGTTTCTTTTTTCCCTTCTTTTTTTAGTCTAAAAAGTTTCATGCTTGTATTTGGTAAATTTGGTCCATGCCAAACAAAGAAGTTGTATGCCCCTGCATCAATTACAACACCAATTTTTATAATGATGCTACATATTTAAGAAAATAAACGAAATAGGACTTACTTTCTAATTAGGACACACACAAAATTTCTCATGATTGTTTCAATCTAGAAGGTGAATCTTGGATTTTTTTTTTTTTTTAAGCAAGGGAAGAATGGATGATATGAAGACCAAATTAGGTTTAGCTATTTTCTTATAAGGTGGGAGTTAGTGAAACGTGTTAAATGATTAAAAGAATTGGGGGAAGAAAAATAGAATAAAGTACCACCACTAATTAATTAACTGGAGTTAAAAATTTAACGAATATCCTAATGTAACATGTTTTTAAAAATTTTGGGATGTAAATGGCATGTTCTTAAACTTTGGGATGTTTTGGATGGTGTGACCCAAACTTTGAGATGAAAAGACTCATTTTCCCGAAAAAATATATATATACCTGCATATATGATAAACATAGTAGTAAGTATCGTCCGATACGTCATCAACATCAAAGATTTCGATACGTATCATGATATGTATCGCAATCGTTTGTGTATAAGTCAATTAACGATAAATATCGTACGATACATATGATACACGATACGATTGTGTATCGTACGATACAAAAACACAGACAAAAAATAATTTTTTTCTTAAAAAATTAAAATTATTATTTCATAATAACCATTTAAATTTGAAATTAAGAGCGAATTTCATTTATAATTTTTATTAAATAGATATTTTGATTTATTTCTTTCACAAACATAATCTTTCTCAATTGGCGATAAAATCGCTTGATAGATTATTAGTTTAAAAAGTAAAATAATTACAAATATTATTTTATTCAGAATATCATTTCCTAAATCAAATATAACAAATAGCATATTGAATAAATGCAATACATGTTTATATTAATTTTTCTCGGTATTAAATTTATGGCTATAATAACAACTGTAGTATGAAAAATAATATTTATTACATAAATTTTACTACCATTATTCATGTAATGAATGAGTAATTTGTGTAACTTTCAAATAATCTTGAATACAACTTAATCAATTTATTTGTTTATAACTGAAAAAATAAAAAATTATAAATATATCAATTACCTATGGAGTTTATGATGTTTATTATTTATTTTACACATATTATTATATTAAAACGTATCTTACGATACGATACGATACGATACGCGTATCATAAATTTAAGTTTCCGATACACGATATCACATTTTGATAACTATGATGATAAATACTTTTTGTTCCCGCCCCCATCGTAGTTTCATTTCATTCATCTTTGTATAATATCCCAGAGGAGGAAAGAGACACGATGTGGATAAAAATTGCGTAAGAGTCCTTGTTGCATTTAAAATATTTGGATTTTGAAAGGGAAATGTATGATATTTCTCGGATGAACAGTTGGGAATTTCAATTAGAATTTCAATCAGAATTTTGAAAGAAAAAAAAAATTATGAAACCAAGTAGTTAAGTTGGTGAGCACAATCAAAATCAGTTGTAAATGGACTCCTAAAGTATCATATATATGATCCAAACGCGATGGTCATAATAATACCTGGGTTACTTTGCATCATCAATGATATTGTTTTTATTTATCAAAATTATTCACGAATAATATTTTCCTCAAAGGTAAAAAAAAAAAAAAAAAAACAGAAGAAGAAAAGCTATAATAAGTAGAAACCGTTAATAGAACATGATGTGATCAGTGTTTTTTTATCCGAAGAGTGTTTTGATCTCTTGTAACTGGACTTTTGTCTTTTTAATAGTACCAAAAAAAAAAGGAAAAAAAAAAGACCGTTAATAGAGAAAGTGGAGTGTTGATGAAGCAACTTTGATAGGATTACCTTGAAAAGATTTTCACCTTACTGTAGCTGACTGAGTCTTAAGTACATACGACTTGAGATAATATTACAAGTAATGGTAACATTTCCACCGAGTCCAATAGCTAATAGCTAATATATATAGATCGAATAGACGCTCTACATCAAATCAGGGGCACCATATTGAGGAAACGAACTAACTCTTTAGGAAAATTTAAGGTTCTCTTGTTCGCTTTTTTTTTTTTTTGGCAAAGACGCTTGTTCGCGAGATCAAATGTATGTTTTGTCAATGATTTCGTTTCTAACAATAGAAAAGTTAGAACTATATGAGCTAAATTCAATCCGAAATATCAGGGAGCAGACATGTAACGAGAGAAACTTATAACTTCCTCTCTTCGGCTCCTTCAAGAACTCACACTCTTTTGATGAAAAAGGACGAATTAGCCCTCTCCTTCTCTTTTATTTTTCAAGTATATATTCAAATGGTTAGGGTTTTTTTTACAACCAAAAAAAAAAACCGTTGACTAATTTTATCTGTAGTTGACTTTTGAATAATATAAGATATTCATTTTACTCATCAAAGAATAAAAATGGAAGCGAGGTAAGGAAAAAAAAAAAGGTAAAGAAAATGGTTGAGGATAATATAAGATGAATTATTGGAGGAGGGGACCAAATTTGTGTGACAAAATGTCACTTCAAAGTTTATTACGTGTCAGATTCAAATATTCGCTGTTATCTAATATATGCCCGTGCTAAATTTGAAGGTTGCCTAAATATCCTGCTTGCGTGGGAATTGAGGAGAAAATCAGAAAAAGAAGTAATAATAGGATACAATTGAAATATAATATAACAATCACATTGAATTATTAAAATGAAAAATGATATACCTATGTATGTATATATAGTAAACCCTAATAAACTGATCAGGGGACGAGATCGGTTAATTACTACTCCCTATGTCCCAAAATTATTGTTCAGTTTGAGATTTTACTTTTAGTACGATTTGAACTAAAAATGAAAACCCAAAGTGGACAATAATTATGGGACGGAGGGAGTATTTTATTTTTGTTTTTAAGCAGTAGGAAGGATTAATCAAAGCGTATGATAGTTGTTTTCCTAGGGGGAGTATATACATTCTTATATTTTTTAAAAAAAAATTGTGGCCATTGAATTAGTGACTAAATCATTTAATCCATTACCTAATTTTGCTTCTTGAGTTAATTAGGTAGAGGTAGGTAATGCTGTAGACATGGCTCCCATGCATGGAAATACCAGAATCAATCAAAATCACGGGGAGACATGTGACTGTTGGTTCATAACTAAAATCAGGTTTAACAAACTGATGAATATGTGGTTCTTATATATGCTTCCACGGACCTATTACCTCAAGTTTTCAACTTTTTATAGCTATTAAACTATGCCAAACTTTTATATTAATTAACGTGCTTTTAAATATGTTGTATTTATTTTTTTTCAATGATTATTTTTGCCGATATTTGAATTTTCAATATACAGTTAAAAATTTCTGGCTCTTACCATTTCATTCAGGATTTTTTTTTTATACTTTTATAGTCCACCGCAGAATTTGTAAATAGATTTTATTATTTATTAATGTTGAGTTTCTCACCATTTCTTTTTTGTGACCAATCCCAACAGTTTCATTGTGCTTTCAGTGTACGCATACTTCACTATAAACTGTAACCCAAAAAAAAAAAAAAGAAAAAGAAAAATTCTGAAAGAAAACCTAATAACCAGGAAAAGCATTCGTTTTTGAGTATCTAGAATACGATGAAGGAAAATATAAGCACAACAATTTATATAATGAAGTTAAAGCATGCAATATCCTTTCCGTACGTAGAAAGATGTTTTGGCCCAAAAAAAAGAAAAGAAAAGAAAAGAATAATAGTAATAATTATCTAAAAGCGTCTTATACTATCATTATCAACAAGTTAAGGGATCCCGTTACGATTTCACCTTTTTATTTTGGTGGGGGATAAAGTTTACTCTATTGGTTCCTCCATAATATAGTAAAATGAACCAAAAAAAAAAAAAAAAGATATTGCACCTTCATAACAAATGCCTTTCTATCCTATTTCTTAAGTTATCTACTATGTCTCAAGAAAATAGTACTATGAGTAAATTAATTAATAAATTGAGATAAAACTCTTTTCTCATAATGGGTAAAAACTATAATATTTATATTTGTACTACGAGTAAATTAATAAATCAAAATTATATGGATTTACTATAACGCCTTCCACCAAGTAAGTAGTAAGTACGTCAAAACCCTGCAATGAAACACAAAATAAATGACATGTACCTATAAATTAAAAGATAGAATGGTGCATGATAAATGAGATAGCAATGATGGTATTCATCCTATATACTCACAAAAGAGAAAGACATAATGAAGCTCTCGTGTGTGTGTATATTTCATTCAAAAATCCAATGTAATTATACAACTTTTTATATTATCTATTTTCATTTCACACCGTAATTCATTAACTAACTAATTAATTAATTATTATTTACAAAATTACATCAACACCCACGTAGTAATATATACCAGTGACTGAAAACAATGATAGTCCTCCACTCCGGTCCCGCACTAAGTTCCCCCCCCACTACATCTTGTGATATTTCTTCATGATATTTAGTGTAGTGTTTTATTAGTCCCCATCCCCACTTGAAATAATTAAATTCTACTGGTTTTCACAATTTATTGAGGTCCCTTTCACTCACAAATAGGCCATGGAAACCATACGGAACCCTTTGTGGTAATTTCACAGCGGCCACAATGTCAAGATTAGGTGATTTAGCATCCATCACCAAGAATCTTGATTCCCCTTTATTTTCATCATGAACATAGGACACAACGTATCCATCATCTTCCTCTGCGTTAGGGTTTTCGGGGTCTTTTGCAACGAAAAATGGTTCGCCTCCGTAGCAACCCGGTCCGTACAGTCGGCTCGCCACGATACAGTCGCGGCGGTCGCCTTCCGAAACCGATACGTCTAGTTTTACGATTCCGCAGATCTTTGGCATAGGGTCTCCAATGGCAGCATATGCATACCTAAAAAGAGAAAGAAATGGTAAAAAGCATTATTAGAGAGCAGACTATTACTTTTCCCAAAATTCTCTTATCCATACACCATAATTTCTTTGGTTTGGTCCACAATGGATATTTCTATGCAGTATCTTACAAGTGAAGACAAACTTTCTTGCACAAGCCCATTCAGGCAACCATTTACTCATGTCATTCCAAATCATATTTAAATTTCTCTTTTTTTATAAAAAAAAAAAAAAAAGAAAACACAATTCTTAAATGACAAGGCAATGATATTCCTTTCGTTCAGGTCGAAGGATATTAACAGTCAGGATTTGCTTCTAAATCAAAAGTTTCAAATAAGGAGACAGTAAATCACTCTGTAATTAATTAGTTTCTTAATAATCATATGAAAATAATAAATCAGTCAATAAATTGAAATGTAAAAAATGCATAGTAGTCACTAGTTATACACAGTTAATATCGAGTGATGATGATAGGAGAAAAGAAAAACCCTCCAAACCTTTTACAAATTCAAGTCCACCAAGTCAACCACTATAGGTTGTTCCTTCAAAACTTCTTTTACTTTATAGTCGTCCATTACTACAAACACCAAACTCTTTTTTTACCTCAAAAAGTAGTTTCATTCATGAATGGTTGAAATAAATAATTACTGATTCTTGTCGACGTAGTTGTCGTCCCATAATAATCAGAAATATTTCAGTGACTTTTAACGTGTTTTATCAAACAATTCAAAAATGGATGTTTTACTTTTACCCTTCTCTTTTTGTCTTTTACCCTTACGTTTAATAAGTTCAAGTTTTACCGTCAAACGGAAGTTTACTTATAATATTATAAACTTTATAAAGTATAAAAACTTACTTGTTTTTCTTGCCGACGTAAGCCGGGTTAACGACTCCAAAATCCAAATTCCGGGTGGAAACCGGATGTCTGGAAACCATCCCGGTTTTCAGATCAATCTTAATTTTCTCGACGGATGCATGAATCAAATCCATGCGCTCCAACGTATGTTCCACCGACAATATGTTCGGAGCCACGATCACGATCGTCTCGCCGTCGTCTTCGTCCCAAGCATTGATCGCGTGAATGAAGTTCAGACCCGGAACCTCAAACCACCTCATATCCCGTTCATCCGTCGCATACCTCGGAATCACTCCCAGCCGGGGAACTTTTCCGGGATCCGCGCCCACCGGCGATCCTCCGGCCATCATTTCCAAAGGGTTCATCCCGATTTGTATGTCGGGGAAAATCGCGTATTTCTTAGTGATTGCGAAATCATGCAAGAAAGATGGTCTGGCGGATAAAATCGGAACATCGGGTTGCTTTGTTCCGTCCGGGTTGATCCGGAAGAAGGTTACGAATGGCGGGATGGGCCCGTATCGGAACCCGAAAGCTTCTTTTGTGTCCGGATCGATTTTGGGATGGGCCGTCATGCTCATGGTGAGCTTCCCATCGAAATCATTCCGGCCCACGGTGATGATATCGCCGGTAATCGGATCCAATTTCACTTCGTAAGGAAGATCCGATTCGCCCATTGCGTAAAGCTTTCCCGCAAACAGAGCTAAGCTGGTGTTTGCTAACCCGAACCCGTTTGCGACGTTGAATTGGCCGGTCACCATTCTTGCGGCGGCGAGTGCCCCACGCGCCGCCGAGGCGGTGAGCCCGTTGAAACCGGAGAAAACGTTGGGGATAACAGGGGACCCTGTTTTTTTCTCTGTCATGTATTTGTAGGTTTTCACATAACGGCTACAGAGCGTGGCTTTCCCTTTGGAGATTCTCACGGCATGAAGCATTCCGTCGCCGTCGAACAAGTGGTAAGGTCCCCGGGGGAGGAATTGCGGGTTGGGTCCGTTTCGGAAGTACGCGCCGTCGAGGCAGGCCGGAAGGGTGCCTTCCACGACGGAGCATTCCGTCGGAGGTAGCTCTTCCACCGGCGCAAAGTTGCTGGACAGCACGTATTTGGGATCGACGGATGGCCGGACGGGAGGATCAATGAAGGTGTTGATGAAATCGTCCAGAGCATTGAATATAATTGTGGGTAATGTTGGCTCAACTGGCTTTCTTGAAGATGATGATGGCCTGGTAATTACTGGGCTTTGGGCTTTCCCGGCGGTTTTCTGAGTTCTAATCGGAGATGATGATGATGGTGATGGCCGGTTTTCCTTCTTTTTCAGAGGCCGCGGCGTTGGCGGCGATGGTGACTTTCTAGTGGTGGAGGTGGTGGTTTGAGGTTTGTCTTCAATTCTGACAGAATAAACGCGTAGGAGGGGGACATTTGAGGATGAAGATGGAGCTATGAAAGTGGTGAATTGGGAGTTTTGCGAGAATGGAGAGAGGAAAGTGGAAGAAGAAGCCTCCATTGTTGCTGCCTGTGTTTGGCAACAAGTGTAGGGTGTGTGTGTGTGTGGGTGGTGATGATGGATATTGAGCAATTTTCATGGGGTATTTATGGAGTGATCTTTGCGCAGAAACATTTTGATTCCTTAATTTCTTACCCACAATTATTTTTTGATATCTAAGAAATGTGGCACTGGAAAAAAAAAATAATAATAATCCTGACACTAGATGCGTAATAATATGTAGCGGATCTAGACAGAAAACATAGTTGGCTCGACTATAACTACATCATTGAAAAACATAACTTATATTTTAACTAACGTTTATTAAATGTTTTTTGTATTTTGAGATTTTTAACAATGTTTATGAGTGTTGGACTTAGTTCATAAGAAATTTCATTATTTTAATCAGCGAAAGTCTCATTTCTATAATTAAAACCCATGTATATTGAAAACTGTATGTTTTTTATTAATTAAATATAATTTTGTAAACATATACATTTACACACCCAAGAAAAAGACCACTTTACTTTTCTCTGGGTACAAAAGAATATGTAAAGTTATGATATGAGAAAAAGTTTGATAGTGTTTAAAGTTTTAGATCTTTTAATCTATAAAACAAGTTAATTTTTTGCATCATTATTAATATCAATATAATTATAAAATTATGATCGAACATAACAAAAATGAAGTCGCTTTGACTATAAAACATTTTTTATAGGCTCAAGGCCCTGCGCAAATTAAGAGAAAATGGAATAGAAATTATATTTTGAGTCTAAATTAGAAAATAACCATTAAATTAATAAGTTTAAATGTAATAATAATTATAATAAAAAAATTATAAATATCCCCCCTGGCCCCCACCCTAAATCCGCCAGGGTGTGTAATATACCCAAAAAAAAACAAAAAAAAAAAAAAACAAATTGGTACTAATAGTTCTAGTACTAGTCCCTATAGTTTTCTATGTTTTGAGTTCTATCATCATACAATCTCCAAGAGAAAGTTAATTTGTTAATATCTCTGCAACATGATAATTATTTTGAATGACTATACTAATTTTGATACTAATTCTATCCCAGAAAAAGTAGTACACATTTAATTTTAAAATTTATACTAATTTTAATATAATTTTAAAAATTTATGTGGATTAGTTTGGCAAGAGGGATTATAATTGATCCTGTTTAGTAGTATATCATGATCTCCACCATATATGTCTAACTAACTTACTATACTTTCCGGTTTCAACTATCAAAACTAGAAGTTAAAAAGGTATTAATTGCGGTAGTTTCCTCGCTTGCAAAATATTACTCCATCTGTCTAAAAAAAAATAGTCCACATTGAGTTTTAAGCTTTGTACAAATCTCAAAACTTAAAACCTGAAAATTCAAAACTCAACGCGATTTATTTTTTTTGGACAAAAGGAATAGTAGTTGGTAGATTAACAAAGTAACTCTATTTGTTTTTTTTTTTTATTCAATGTAATTAAGAGATTGAGAGATAATTATACCAATGATATTAATAACAATGTAGATATAATGATAATTTTGAGTTAAATGAAATTCTTTTAGTACCTAAGTATGATTACTATTTCCTTCATCCAAAAAAAAAAAAAAAGTTTACACTGTAGCTCGTAATTGTATAAATAATTCAAATTAAAAATTGCATGAACTATTTTTCTGTAAGGAGTATAAAAGATCGAAGACAGAAGCACGTTTAACAACATGGCCTTTTATGAGCGGAAGGAGTAGTCACGTTTGCTACTTCATATTTACTGCATGGAAAAAGTTGCATATTTGTTTACTTGTAATCAAAATATAAGCATCTTATGATAATAAAAATATTTGTTAAAAGAAAATTTGAACACTAACGTATATTGGAGTACTCTCACATAGGTGGGTTAAAAAGACTAAAAAGTTTGAACCATGGATATGCAACAATAATTAAAATATTTGTTGTAATTTATTTTTGAGTATTTATTCGTTTGAATCTAAATTAGTCCATAAAAATGTAATTTGAAACATGCACGTAATTTATCAAAGCAGATGATGAGATTTTGTCAACAGATTTAGATTGGACTGAGGAAACACTAATCTACTCAAAAGACTAAACCAGTCTCCTTTAAAATCAAAAAGTGTTCAAACATGTAGACAATTTGGTGAGACTTGATAGTGGAAAAATACATTTGGAATAAGTTTTACTTAAATCTAAGTTAGTCATTACAGTAATTTTGAACATGCACGTAATAAGGTGAAGCAGATAGTGAAATTTTGTCAAGAGATCGGACTAAGGATATACTACAAAAGACTAAATCAGACTTTAATATCAACTGTTCAAACTTGTAGAAAATGTGATGAGACTTAGTAGAAAAGTATCTTTGAAATAATTTTTACCAATACTCTTTGTTTCTTAGAATAAGAGTCATACTTATCATATTATAAAATAATTTAACAAACAAAACTTTTATTTAGGATAAATGGTTTTAAAAAAAAAAAATGAATGTGGGCATGTTTGGTGCAAACTTGGGAGATATTTGTGTCTTATTAATAATTTTCCATGGCAGTTGGGCACCTATTTTAGACAAACACACATTATCTAAAAGAAATTTTCTACAATCCGCATAACCAAAGTCATGAATAGACTCAACAAGTACTAAGAAATCCAGTGGAAAAAAATATGCGTCATTCATTCTCCTGTCTTTCGAGACTAGTGATGTCTGGTCGATGCGCGACCCTGGCCCAATATATCGATAGATTTTAGAAATATTTATATTTGGAAAAATATATTTTGTATTTGGCCTGATATATTTTAGAAATGTTTGAAGAATTTAGAAATATTTTATAAATGTGACCATAGAAATGTTTATATTTGACAAAAAAAAATTATATTTGGCCCGATACGTTTTAAAAATGTTTGAAGATTTTAGAAATGTTTTAGAAGTGTTACTTATTAAATATACATAAACTTGATCAAGTATATGTCTTAAAGTAAATGTTAGACAAAATATAAAAATATCCTAATAAGTTTAAATATTATTAAAATGATTTATTGATGTTCTTCGTTTGTCTTGCCAAATCAATACTTAGTTTTGGAGATTTATAATATTTTTGTAGTAAGCTTGCTCTGAAGGGTATACGTTTAATTGTTGGAACTGTTTCTTCCAAAGGTTTATAGGTAGTAAAATATCAAAAATATGATTTTGAAACTGGTTAACTGTTGAAACTGGTTAATCACAAATATGAGAATGAAAATTAATGTAAATTTGCATAGGTTTCAAGTTATACGAAAAAAAACTCACCCCACCATGGCAAATAAAAAAAAAAAGTATGTAAAGGAGCCCATTAAAAATTGAGAAATTATTTTTTTTCCCTCTAGGTAAAAATGATGTATAAAACCACAAATAAACGTAGAAACATCATTCCTTTCCTCTCCACCTCAAATTTATTAAAGGTTTCCCCATAAATTAGTTAGAAGAAGCGACCTGAACTATTTATATGATGAGTAACTCAAAAAAAGTCCAAAAACCAAATCCAAAAAAGTATATTCTTGAAAGCCCGAACACAAAAAAAAAAGAGAAAAAAAAACGCGCTTCATTTGCAAAAAATAATAATAATAATTGGTCAACTGGAAGTATGAAACAAAATCAAAAGCAATTAAACAAAGAAAAAACAAAGTTCATAACTGACCATATACGAAAAAAAACTGAGACTCCATAATTAAAAAAAGAAAACCATTCTAATTGAATGAAACATAAAAAAAAATTAAAAAAAAACCACACTTTGTAACAAAAACCTAATTGATCAATTCAATCCAAACAAAACTAAAATCATACAAAAATTTTAGGCTAACTAACCATATAAGAAATCACATCATATTACCTGGTAACAGCTACAGTAACTATAACGGGTAAACGCATAAAATAATAGTAATAACACTATGCTTGAACGGAAAAAACAAAAAAATAATAAAAGCCGAACAAATGATCCGTGGATATAAAAACATTTAAATTTTAATATCTCTAATGGCACCACCACAACGGCCGAAGTAAGATTAATGAGAAATTTTTTTTTTCCTTTGTGTTTATATAGAGAGGTAAAGTGAACATTTTTTGAAGTCGAAATTTTATCCGATTAGAATGTAGTTGATCATCACTAATGAAAAGATTGAACATGCTAATAGGAAAGGAGTATATTTCACCACATATTCTCAATTGATGGTTGATGAGGAATTTGTTTTTTTTTTTTTATTGTGGAGAAGGGATTGATTAGGGAGTCGATTGTCGTGGAGATGAGAATGAGGATTTGGGTTTTTTATGAAGTCGTGGTTTTTTTTTTTTTGGCAAAAATAGGAGGTGGAGGTGGATTTGGACTACATTTGCCTTTTAAGTCTAGGAAACTGATGTGTAAATAAAGATTTATTTTAAAACTATGATGTGGAAATGCCACATGGCAAATGATGGTGCTCTTTTTTAAGTGTGGTTTTTGTTTCTAATATAGTAAGATATCCAGCAAATGTGCGCGGAAAATGATTTGACCCAAAAATAAAACTAAATTCAAATTAAAAAAAATAAATATTACGAGGATCAGGTTGATAAGGTGGCACGTGACAAGATTTTTTATTTCTTGGCCGTTAATTTTGTTTCGTAACAGACAACAAAATTTTTATTTTTTATTTTTTAAATTAGATGATTCCAACGAGAATCGAACCCTCGACCTCTTGGTAATAATTATCCTCATCGTCAATTGTTTTTTGATTTATTAATAATTCTTTTACATTGCTGGTATGGAAAAATTGGCCGATCTACCCAAAGGTTGACATGCGTTGGCAATTTCACTCTATTCTTTTTCGGTTAGCCAATATTACCCTAAGCTATCCAACCGTTAGCCGATTTTATCCAATTTACCAATTTCCGTTTAAATTAACGGAATTCCGTTAGTTTTAATTACAAAAAATACCTTAATAGTTTTAAAAATTATAAAAATGACCCTAAAAATTTGTAAAAATAACCAAACAGTCTTTTTTTATTTTTTATTTAATTTTTTCTGGTTTCTATTTCTTTTCACTATTTCTCATAACTATAAAAATATATTATATAATATTTTTTAAAAAAAGCTTTTTATTTTTAAAACACTATTGTGCAAATTTATAGATATGCATATTCGTAACTCATGATTGATTTACATAAACATATTAATTTTTTAATAATATAGTTTAACAGTAATGATATTATTTTTTTAATCTATTTTTTCAATCTAAAAAATAAGATTATTTAACTAAACCTAATTTTGCACAAAAAATAAAACATTTAGCATAGATTAAATTTTTTTATTGGTATATTTTAATGTATTATTACAACTAGATGTTAAACTCGCACGATGTGCGGGGTAAGTAAAATGTTTTTAATACAATTTTTAGAATGATTAGAATATGAAAAAATAAGTATATGAAAAAGACTACTTAATAAATACATTTACAAAAATGCAAGGCATACAATATTTGTTTGCATTTTGAAAAATGAAGCGGGTATTATTGGAGAACCTTTTTGACGTGGAACAAATCACTTATTACGAGACATTTTTTAGATTCCAATATCCATATACACAGAAAATGTAAATCTAAAAGAAAAAGTAATTTTAGATATACTTAAAAAAAACAAAGAAAAAATAAATGGTCTCTAATGATGGTGTTGATTTATTTTTTTTTTTCCACTAATACTTTTTGTCAATAGTTTTGAGTATGTTCTTTCTTTACTTCCGATTGCCGATATTCTCATCATTCTGTCAACAGTTTCTAATACTTTTCTCATCATTCTTTCTTTCCTTTTTCCCTTCTACTTCTCCTACCCAATTCAGAATTCTTATCTTAACAATTTTGAACTGGAGATGAGTTTGGTTCTGCCTTCTTCCGTCGCATTTGAAACTTTCATATTAGTTTCTTGGAAACAAAAACATGGATCTTGTGCACTGAAAATAGTATTAACAAACATCCATCATTAAATTGTTGAAAATATAAATGAATAGATATGTTCTCATGAACTATTTTGCTTAACCTTATCGATTGACAAAGCTTCAGTGGACACAACCTGAGCCCACAAACAGTGCATCAAGGATCGTACGCAAGCCCTCCACATGTTGAGAACGTGAATGGAATTCTCCAGTACTCACTACCATTGGAGTGGAGTTATTCATGTATATTCTTGTTCTTGGATTTGAAAAGAAATACAACAACCAAAGGCAATCTTATTTTCAATCATAATCAGAAAAAGGGGAGAAAATGCAGAAGCTATTAGGGGATTAGGGGATAGTAGAAAGCTATATAATATTTTCATAGACTGATTTCCCAATATTGATCATATCATCCTATATTAACCTCAATTATGGGATTTGCTAATGTTTGGGATTTGATAATTAATGGACCATACATTAATTTTAGAGAATCATTTATACCCCCTAATTAAAGGCTAAAAGAATCAGTTATGATATTGTATTAATTATTTTCAAATTTCAAAAGATATTAACATTAATTATTGATCAAATTAATACGTAATGGCATTACTTTCATATTTTTGTGTGAATACAAAGTATTACATTGGAGCTTTATTCAAGCCAATTGGGAAATTTATTCAAATCAATCAACATTAAATATAAATGAATCAAATCAAAATTTACTTTTTTTTTTATAACACCACATGGAAAGAAACTATTAATGTTGACTTTTTAAAAAATGTACTGGTTTTTTTACTTGACCAAATACAAAATAGAAAGTTTACCACCCAATTGATTGGTAGAATTAATTGCGATTTGATAATACTTAATTTACTGAAAATTCAAAGGATTGCTAGTGTAATTGTTTTAAATATTTTTCTGTCAACCTATAAGAAAATGACAAATAGGATTTTTTCCTACGTGTCAATGTGAGGAAATTTGAATTTCTCTCTCTGGTTTCTCTCTTAGTATAATACTATAGATTGAAGGCAAGTTTTGTACCTTTTTTTCTTTTTTATTGGTGAAAAATACAGGGTCATGTTTTTGGGAGAAGATTTTAAAGATAACATTAATGTTGAATGATTGGTTTTTTTTTTTTTTTTTGAATTGTAGTTTATTGATTTACATGATTGGGAGAGAGATTTCTTTTAAAAGAAATTAATTAAATGAGTCCAGTAGTAACTTTGGAGATTCTTTTGGGGAGGGAATAATTTAGAATTCTTTTTTGTTTTCTCTCTCTGGTTTCTCTCTTAGTATAATACTATAGATATAATTCAACAGAGTTTAGATTGTATTGTAAAATTAAAAAAATAATTAAACTAAAATATACATTTTCTTTAAAAGGCCAAGTACAAACAGAAAGTAAAAAAATGGTACAAAATATTTTATAAAAAATATGTATATTTATCATTGCGAGAGTTTAACATTTCGTGATAATTTTTGGGATATTAACATCTAACTTTAGCAGGAAATTTTTTTTAATAATAATAAAAAAAAAATCTGCTCCAGTACTGGACTCCACCTTTAAAAAAAAAAGATCGCCCCAGTGAGAATTGAAGCCTCGAATATGATACTAATCATCTCACATCTTAAATCACCTAACCATCCAACTCAACCCTTTCACCTTTAGTAAACCATACATAAATGTGGATAAAATCATTCTCCTGTTTAAAAATCCTTGGTGAGAATTAATCTTATATCTACTATCATGATGCTCAACATCCTAAACACTAGATTGTACACTATATTTTAGTTTAGTAATTTTTTGAATTGGATAATACAATCTATAGTTTGTTTATTCAATTTGTAATAAATTAAAATGTACTAATATATTAATTTTTAATCTATGCTAAATGTTTTATTTTTTTGTAAAAAAGTAAGTTTTTAGTCAAAAAATATTATTCTTTAAATTGAAAAAAGAATTAAAAAAATAATATCATTATTGTCAAGTTATGTTATTAAAAAATTAATATGTTTATGTAAATCAACCATGAGTTACAAATATACATATCTATAAATTTGCACAGTAGTGTTTAAAAATAAATAAATTTTTTTAAAAGATCATATAATATATTTTTATAGTTATGAGAAATAATAAAAATAAATAGAAAACAGAAAAAATTAAAATAAAAAGTATAAAAGACTGTTTGGTTATTTTTACAAATTTTTAGGGTCATTTTTATAATTTTCAATTCTATTAGGGTATTTTTTGTAATTAAAACTAACAGAATTCCGTTAATTTAAACGGAAATTGGCCAATTGGACAAAATCGGCTAACTATTGGATAGCTTAGGATAATATTGACTAATCGAAAAAAAATAGAGTAAAATTGACAACGCATATCAACCTTTGGATAGATCAGCCAATTTTTCCTTGCTGGTATCATTGTCAGTAGAAAATAACTAGTCTAAAATTTTAAAATTATATGCAAATACTCATTCTTGCTTTTAAACCTTTTTTTTTCCCCTTTTCCTTTTGAGTAAAGCTTTTCAACCAATTGAGCCAAACATTTTCTTTTCTGTGGCCCCACGCTTATCCCTATTGTTTTTCAGATGTCTGCATGTGGTGTGGCTCAAAATGTAAGTCCAGATAGTTTTGGCAACTTGCAAATTGTATCGAAGTAAGTTAAAACGTACTTGTAAAGAAATTGAAAAAAACTAATTACATTTCTCTCTGTTGATTTATCTGCCGATCTGCTCTCCAGTATATCCTTACATCGAGAGTTTATGAAGATCTGTTAGCCGTTCCAAATGACAACATCTGCAGATTGCGAAAACCTGTTTTTTTCATAATTTTCGACGCGACATTAGTGCTCCGGTCTGATATCTATAACGTTCGAGATTCTTGTTTCCTGACACTATACATCAATCCTCACCTATAATCACAATGTCAAAATGTTGAAGGACTGACAACGTGATCAACATTACCTTTGTGATTTAAAAAGTTATGAACAGTACTAACCATTGTACAACACCTATGCACAATGAAGCTAAAGGAAGACGACATCAAATTCATTAACAATATCAATGTTTTCTTTCCCATTTTCCTTCGCGCCGACTGTCTCGTTCTCTCCTCTCCATACTTTGCCTAGATTTTCCTCCTCTGGATCCATGCCTCAAAGAGGATCCATAACCAGCTGATTGTCCTTCAAGCGCTGAAATCAAATCTGGATCCCCAGCACTGCCAGTGTCACCTGAGTCCTTGGTCCCATCAAAATTTTCCTCATAAACACTGCCTGTTTCATCGGATCTATCTTGTGATTGAAGAATGGTGGGGACTTGGCCTGAGAATTGCCTTCCTCCTGACAGTACAACTTTTGGCACAGTTGTCATGGATGGACTTGTGGCAGCTGTCTCAGTCTGAGCACTGCCAGTAATTCCTCTCAAGCTGCCCTCATTTCCAGCTCTTCCATTTTCTCTCTCCCTGTACCGTGGCCTGTTGGACGGACGAATTAGAAGTAATAGATTCCTTAACAAAGCTCTTTCCAACTTCGATGCACTAACCCCATCACACCCCAATTAGAAATAAATGACCGAAAACTACACCCCGATGCACTAACCCCATCACACCCCAATCCGAAAACAAAAATAAAATTGATGGATAAATGTGAAAAGCTAAAATTTGGTACTCCCTCCATTCCAAAATAAGTGTCGTCCTACACTTTGCACATAGTTTAAGAAACTCTTAAATAGGGTAATAAAATTACTTGAATATCCTCAACCAATCCCATTATAAAATTGTCCACCAATAGCATCAACTCTTTTGAGGGTAATTTTGAAACTTTTGACAAAAAGTGCATTGAAATGTGAGAACGTCACTTATTTTGGAATTTCTCCATTTTGCTAAAAAACGATACTTATTTTGGAATGGAGGGAGTACTGACCAACCACAAGTGTATAAGAAAAACAAAACCTGACATCTGCAGATCACATGGATTTTGGCGTGATATAAATGTAAAGTTACACTTAAATGTGTGCAAAAAATGCATAATAATTGATTATAAATATATTCATGACAAACACGCAACAGCAGATAGTCTTTCCGAAATGTTAATTTCTTAAAATTTATGATCATAGAGTTCCTGAAGTTCCATAGTGGAAATGAACATGTCAAATTCATTCAAGAATACCTGATGAAATTTTCAATCCTATGCTCCAGAATAATCTAATAATAGCTAGGGAATATGGAAGAGAACCTTAGCAGCCACATTCAAATTTCATGGTCCGAGTAAAGAAAAACTATGAAAGTTGTTCATACTCTTGAAAGTTTTCAGTGCATGATAGTTCGGCAACTTTGGCATGTTCTTTGATGAGACAAGGAACTGATAAATGCGGCATTGTAGTTTTGACTTCTCTACCTAAAGAAACTATCATTTGCTGATCCATATAAGACAATTTCATTAATTTCATCACAACAATGCATTCAACATCAGTATGAGAGGATGCACGAATCATACTAAGAATGATACCTCAAGCCTAATCAAATTTTGAATCCATTGCAGGTAGTAACATTTAATCTCTGGTGCAGCAAGACAAAATCTTGTAAAGTCTGAATCAAAATTCTTGCTTACCTACTATGACTTGAGGATGAAAATTCTCGCCTAGATGGTCGAGCTCCGGATTCCACTTGCTCAAGCTCCCTCTGCAGTTCTCTCTACAAGAAATTAATTCAGAATTTAATTAACCAAGTGCCCATCTCACGAACGAGATAAAAAGATACTGATTCCAAACATATGAAGTTCATCAAGCAATTGAAATAATATATTCAATCATTCTCTGTACAAAAGATTAACAGAAATAACTTGACATCATAGGTAACATAAAGCTGCTAAGGAACCCATAATGAAAATTCTGGTTTTAGCGAAGAAAAATCAAGTCAAGAAAGACGAGCCAAAATTTGACCACAGCATGAATCAAGTACCTCAAATAGTTCATAAAAATCCAAGGACAAAAGTAGAAGTGTCATAGACCTATAACATCTACACAGGGTAATATACACTGATTCTCGTCAGAAAAAGGGCAACCAAAACCTTTACTATCACTGAAATGATAAAAATGAGAAAATGATCCAAAGTCAACTGTGACAAATATCGTCTGCTTTATTACTCATGTGCGACAACTTCAAAAAGTTCAGAAAGATATAAGGCAGCCACGTGAACAGAAAATCAATCATGCCATACAAAGAAGAGGAGACTATAACAAGAACAAGTGGGTGACCATAGAAAATTATTGAAGATTGAACGAGTGAAATCCGACTGTTCAATGAAAGTAAAAACAAAACTTAGACAAGCTAGACCTTCATTCAAGCATCAACATGGATTAAGAACATAAATCTTTGCAAGTAGCAATCTTCCATGTCTATGCACCAAACAAAGCTCTATGCTTCATAAAGTGACAGCCGTAAAGAAGACACTTGGTGCAACCCAAAAAAATTTGATCAGTAGCTATTTGGAGTTTAAGCAATTTCCTAAATTTTTAAGTGTTACTGAAATACTTTTGAATGTTTCAAGTTTAGGTTCAAGAATGTCAATGCAGTTTCGTATAATTTTATACCATGTCCCACGCAGGAGATGCAAAGTCAATCACGCCACACTAAAGGTGTAACTCAACAGTCATACCTAATTTCTGTCCTTGGTCTATTCAATTTTCACAAATAACAGCTTCACAATCTTTTTTTTTTTTCCACGCCGAAGAATCTAAACAGAAGCTCCCTAGAAAATGAGGTGTTCACATTTGAATAGAAATTGAATTTGGTACTACTTTTCAACGTACGAAAGAATTGTTTCTCTTTCAATTTCTTTAAGGTTTCTTCTTTGATAAAGGATTTTAGGGTTTTGTATTCACATCTGAATAGAGATTTAATTTCTTTATCATAATCTAATGTGTGGGCTGTTCTTACCGATTTTGAGTAACTACATTTTTGGGCGTTCTTGAGATGTAATGAGGAGCTTAAGCAATCATGCTTTATTTAGTATATTTTGGCGAGACTCTTTGTTGAATTATGTTCAATGACCAAGCCATTACAAGAAAATTCATGCAATTTGTTCCAACTCAAGCTGTGTTTTGATGGCTATTCTTACAAGATTCTTGTTTGAGATACAAAATTCAGACTTAAGCATAGAAGCATAGAATTAAGTAGGGTGCAATCATGGGCAACAGATCAAACGTCCTTAATCACAAAGACTTTACATAACAATTTGGGCCTAATAATTCAATCTTGAGGACTACAAATAGGAACTAAAGCAGATACACTCCTTAAGCATAAATCTGTCTACAATTCAGAAGAGCAAGAGCAGAGTGAAAAACAGCAAATCCTAGTCGATCTCAAGATCACAAACAAAGGATTTGATCAAGAAGAAAGAATGAATTCAGACTTTATATCACCCTAGTTACTTTCCTATGTATTTCATTGGTGCAGATATAAACAATTACCCCCATCTCTCATTTCTGTTTATTTTGTTTTTACTACTTATGTGGTTTTCTGGTTTGAATTCAGGTAAACAATTGAAAACCTAATATCTGGTGAGATTCCTACTCACTCACTACAGCATGGGGTGTATAATTGCATCTATAGTGCATCAACTTAAGTGGTTTTAACTTGTTTAGTGCTATATTTGCTAACATGAACAGAACAAACTGCTGTGATTGGAAGCTCATAAATTGCCAACACCTACAAGCATGAATGGTGATAAAAACAACTTATAAAGAAATAACGGCTTTCAATGCAACCACAATGTTCAATTAACTACAACTCATCTATTTTCTAGATCATGCTAAATCTGAAAGCAAAGACTGAAAATCAAGCAATCAGATATCACATACGCACTAAATGAATACCTGAGTGAGTTTCTCTCTCTCCATATCAAGACTATGCTGCAGCTCCCGCGTTTTTGCACGCTCAAGTTCCAGTAACCTTTGTCTCTCAATCTCCCTTTCCACTTCAGAAGTCCGCTCCCTGATAATGTTTCCAGCATCTAAGATATAGAGACCAACACTGAAAAAAATACCATGATCAGTCAATAGAAGGCAAAACCTATCAAGTTCTTGTAACAGTTCAGCTTCTCGTATAGCAGCCTCTTCCAGGACTTTCTGACGAGCGCCCCTGAGCTGAAGCTTCTGTTGCCGGCGAGCTATTATCTCCATTTTTAGTTTGGTCTTCTCCCTGATAAGAAAATGAATAAGTTTAGAACAATATGAAGATATCTATACACAAGTAGAGAAGCAGGACGACCGACAAACTGATACAGTTGACTACTTCTCAGTGTTCAAATGACGTTCGAAGCATAATATCATCGACGACTCTGAAAATCTTGTAATAACTTAAGCATACAGAAGATCTAGCCAAGTTTAGCAGGGAATCAGATCTCATTTATTAGTCCTAATTACAATTAAAGTGTTCCACTTTTCCAGCACTAGTACTTTACCGTCTTGAAGATGGAAGGTTCCTTTCATAGGTTCGTTCTTCTTGTTTCAATAAGTAAACAAGTATTTAGTAAGTACATTTTAAGTAATCAATGATAATTAGTGTCAAAATCACCTCTAATAAAATGATTGAAGAGAAATTTGTCTTTCACTGGCTTGGATTAAGATCACACAGTTTCACTTTTTTTTAAAGCAAAATGCAAACAACTTGCCCATCATCCATGCCACCCGATCAGGCAGGATGAAGCCCAACTCTAAAGAGTTATAATACGTTACTTTCTTTTCAAAATGTGTAAGGAAGAAATCACAAATATATAAAGCTCGCAATATCAAACTGTAACATACAGGGATCTAATTCCATCCTTGATTTGTTGCAGACGGTTATCATCCTTAGCTTCTACTGCAATGGAGAAACATCACAAATGAAGGTTAAATCAAAATTATTGTTCACCTTGCAAAATCCAGTGTATTAATGGACGTAAAACTACCAATAGGTAGTGAATTGCTCTTAACATATCACTGAAAATGTCCTTGAGAGTTTATTCGTGAAAAATCATCTTGAACAGGACTAAACAAATATTGTTGTAACCAAAAAGTCTAAGATTCAAGACATGATCCATTTGGAGCAGAGGCCAAGTTTTTAAAACATTATCTTAATTGGATGTCAAATAAGTAAGATTAGGTAAGCTAAGGGGAAAAAAAGTGTTATTGGATAGTAATCGAAAAGAAATTGTTTGGATTGAGAATGTAATAAAATTACCATCAACAAAGGGATGACGAAGCAAATCTTTAACACCGCTCAATGGTTCCGCTATGGCGTTTTCTTCCTGAAGAAGTTCCAATTCAATTTCCGCCTCCTCGAATTCCTAGAAGATTACAGCACTATAGTTAATTAAAAGTATCAAAATAAAGCACAGAACTTTGGTAGGAAGGCACTGACCAATTCATTTTTGTTGATTTCCTTAGAGAAGAAATCGAAGTATGACTGGGCAGATGTAAAATTGGCCATGACCTACAGAAATAGTCAGAGAGGTACACAAATGACTATCATAACAATTATTGACGAGATATTTCAAAATATTAATAAATTTATATGGTAGTAATATTTAGGTGCTAATATATTAGCGTAAAAGTTAAACTTCTCAACAATTACAATGACAAACTAAAAAAAGATAAAACTTGTAAGAAACCAATCAAGATTGTTTGAGAAAACCTATCGACCCATTATTAATAATCAATCAACCAAAACAAAAAAAGATAAAAGAAAAAATAAAATTGTTGTGGAGGAGCAGCGATCATAAATCAGGACGCGTGGAAATAAAACCACAGTATTGAACACGGACATAAAAAGTAATGCTTAACTACCTGTCGAATTGACTCCCGTGTACTCGCAAAATTTGGATCGGGTTGTTTTGAAGTAGTTGAAGTGAGCAATTCCCTCAGCATCTAACATACAGAAATGTTAACAATCAACTACTATTCAGTATACATCAACAAAGATTGGCAGTGAAGCAAGTGCATCAGGAAAGAATATAGTCCTTAGTGGAAAAAAGAGGAAGAAAAGGAAAAATAAATTGCACGAAGAATCTGAATGACAAGAGAATAATACAATAATTAGTTTACTGGAGCATAGCAAGTCTAGAACGATCCAGAGTAACAGCCCAAATTATGCAGCAACATCCCAAAGTGAATTGCTAACCTGCTTTGCCTCATCCTCATCAGCTCGCAATCTGCATAAGGCTTCACAAGTCCTTCTCTCCAAGCCCATTGGACATCTCCCTAGAAACACATTTGAGAAGACAAGTAAACACATTCATTCATTTGCTGAAATTAACTCATCTGGTAAAATTATGTCGGTCAATGTACAAAACATACCATTTTCAAGCTTTCCAATAGTTTCGATATTCTTCCAGACAATCTCTGGTATCAAATAAATATCTTCAGTGGGACAATGCAAACAAATATTTGCAATAAGTGCCAGCGAAAATTTGGCCATGGGACCTTCACATGCTGACTGTGCCAGATTTGCTAAACCTTGAAGAAAAATATCAGCAGCAGCAAGAAACGATTGCAACTTTTTACGTTCAGCAAATGGTATGTAGTTCATTAGAAGCACCAAAGCATGTGTTCTTAGAACATGAGATGTATCCAAGGATGCCATGCAGGCGACCTGATCCCAGGTAATGGAAACTAAAGTTGCCAAAATCGGTACAGAAGAAGACACATTTAGATCTGAAGCTCCTCCTGTGATCGGCGTCGATGATAATGAAGCTAACCCACCATCAACATCATCAACCATAAGTTTTCTCAATTGCTTAAGGGCAATAAACCGCTGTTCAGGTTCAGGATGTTTAAGCATGGAGCAGAAGAGATCAACCAGAGGAGATTCACTGTTGGGGTCGAAATGGATTGCTCTCTTAAACAATAAAGGTATCCATTTATCAGTCTGCAGTCGCCATTCAATATGTGGTGCTCTGCAAGAGAACTGTTTTATGGCAAGACATATTTTATCAATCACAGTACCCAAATGAAAACATTGCGGAACACCAAGCAGACAATCAAGCATCACTGATGCAACATTCCAGCAACGTTTTTCATCAAGTACCAGTATCACTTCTACTAATTCCTGAAGACTGATGTTCCAATCATCCACAGACCATCGTAAAGAACTAGTAGGAATGATGGTTTCTTTCTCACAACCTGACTGTGTAACAGCTTTTCCTGCAAGCGATGAGAGGTTTTTCGAGTACACATAACACTCTGAAGAAGTCTGTGCCAACTTATTTACCAGTTTGTGATGTATCTTATAGCATTGGTCAATTGTTGGGGAAAGCTTATGAAAAAGGCAGTCAAACACCTCCGAAAATTTCATAATATCTGCATTGTTGGATAGAAAACCGTTTCCATTCACCTGAACAGTGCCAACATCTTTGCTTTCAAGCTCCGACGGTACCTCAACTGAAGGAGAAAGATTTAAAACGTCATCAAGGAACCCCGAGTATGATTGAGAACTGTGATATAGAGATTCATCAATTGTTGATGGGTATGTCTTTAACGGAATGACACCAAACACTTTCAGTGTTCCAATGAAAACTTTTTTACAGCTCTCCATTAGAGTCTGATACGCATATAGATAGTCGTGTAAAGAAGCCCTTAGTTCAAATGATGCAAAATCAGCAAAGATGAGAGAGGAGTGTAATATTTCAATTTTATACTGGAAGGATAGATCAGGAAAAAGTGAAGCTAAAACAAAAATCGCCAGAGCCCTATTATGCCTTTTGTCCAGCGGTCCTAGATCATTCCCACTCTGCTTAATGCCATGCAGAAGCTCATGAAAGCATAAAGATTCAAGATTCAGACATGAATCACTCAATAAGTTTTCCTCTTTAGAAACATTATGTAGAGAATGGGAGATGACCGGCTTCAACAAGTTCAATATAGAACCAAGAAATGCCACGTCACAATAGCTGCTACTACAGAGAGATGTCAACGCTTGCAACATCCTTGGTAATTCTGGAACTATTGCTTCCATGTGCTCAGACAAAATGGATTCCAGCACAAATAAGATTACAGCCTTCGCATTCTTTGCCACAAAGCCCTTTAAGTGATCGGGATTCTTTTGAGAGTAGAGTAAATCTTTCTCTTTTCCAATAAATGGCCATGAACATAAATCAGAAAACCAACACATCAGATCTGGCACTACAACAGATGAAAGAGATCTCAATTGTAATCCAACAGCTTCCAGAATCGACTCCCCAAAAGCTTCAAACTCTTTCTTCAAATTGGGAAAAAATTGGCTAATCTCAGGGTGTAAAGCATGGAAAGACTGATTTACATAATGGCAGGAAGATGCCGAAGGTAACTCGTTGCTAACACGGTCCTTTAATTCTCCAGTCTTAGACTCGGCTTTCTGGTCTACATTGTGGCCTATCATAGCAAGCTCGTCGGAAAAAAATGATAACAAACTCGTCAACTGTGAAAGATCTGAAGCAAGAAAAAGGTGCTCCTTTATGTACTGCTTGGCGTTACGGGACACTGCCATCCAACCAAGATACCTAACGAGAGGAGAAGTAGAAGAAGAGAACGCAGAAATTCTTTTCAGCCAAGCCGAAGGTGGAACAAGATTTGCAAACCGGAAACCATTGTGAAAATTTACAGAGACATTAGCCTCCTCATCAATGCCACTTGAAGCAACTATCAATTTCTGAAGAAGTAGCCAACGACGCTGTATCCCGTGTAACTTACAGTGGCTTAACTGTAAATTTCCTTCTTTGAACTGAAAGTACAGTGATTTCAGTAGTGCATTAAACGTATCAGCATACCTTAGTATTATATCAACTATATTCTCAGGAGGACAGTCTAAGTTAGTTGCCGAGTGCAACAAAAACAAAAGACTCTGAATGAGAATTTCATGCATAGGATGCTCTTCACTCTGCAATCGTTGGACTAGAAATTTGCACAGACGTGCCTGATTATGCCGAACTAAGGTGATAGCATCTGCAGATATAATCTCATCTTTTGATAAATTCCCTACTTCCTCATTTACTTCCGTATATGAGCCAGCCAGCTCCGGATCTAACTCTGTTTCGCGGAACTTCCTATCCAACTCTGCTGCCTCAAGTAGAAGATCAATAACAGCTCTATCTCTTTTTCTTTCAAGATCCTCTAATACTTTTAACTCACTATCTTTCTTTTCAAGAATCCCTCTAACATCAGTTATAGTGTAGTTTACAGAGCTTCCGATAGCAGACTCTTTGTTCATCGGCAGAGAAGTGCCCCAGAAGGGCATCATAAAGTAAGGATTAACAAAACACTCAGCACCCAGGAGCAAAGCATCAATACCAGCACTATGAGCTTCAGGAGTAAGAGGGCTCTGAGACAGCAAGTCAATTGCAAAACGTCTAAATTCTGAAGCCCTAAGCTCAGAATCTCCATGGTTCATAAGCTGCAAATAGTCAGCTTGCAAGTCTGAGAATTCTGCTGCTAGTGTGTTATTTGATGTACCAAAATCAGCAGATTGTATTTTGACATTAATCTGCTCCCTATTGCCAGAGTCAGAATCTGATTTTTTCCCTTCAAAACAGCTTGATACGGTAGTAAGAGAAAATTTAGTTAATTCTGAAGGGGCAAAAAGAAAACTCGAATCCTCAGAAACATCCATCTTTCCTGTCAAATCAACAATATCCATCTTCCCGTCAGTATCATCTGGGGTGGTTGACTTGGAGAAGGTTCCTCCAATTCGCGAAGAAGATGACATGATGACTTTTTGTGACTCTTGCAGTTCACCAACAGGATATTTCCGCTGGTCAATATCTAATGGTAGCTGAATCTGAGGATCCAATACAGAAAGCAGTACACTGGACACAAAACATTCCATATCATGATAATATAAAAAAATTAACATCAAGAGGAAGAGTTTTCAATCTAACAAAGAATATGTCCCCCTCCAATTTGCTCTCATATGAGGCTGACCTAACCACTTAAATATACTTCATACTTCCTAACATACACTTGCGTAATGGACTTAAATACAGTTGGAGGACAATAATAATTTGAAAAAAAAATTGAAAATGATAAAACTTGAATACATAGAATGACTTGAAAAACCAGGTTACTAAGAAAAGAAATAGTGAGATTGAGTTTCTAGTAGATAAAATTACTAGGATGATACATTTGAAATTTCAGCTTCAGAAATATATATATTACCTAGGAGCAACAGATCCTCGCCGCCATTCAGCTTCCAGTGACGGAAGCACAGCAGGTTTGTTAACAGCAGCCCGAATAACATCTAAGGCAATTGCACAATTAAGCTCCTGCTTTTCAAGGAACATTGAAGAAACATTCCCGAATGATATCACACTCTTCACTGGTGTCATTGCTGGATCCAAGGAAGGTTCCAGCATCTCGACTAGAAAAAGAACTTGATGCTTGGCATCCTAACACCAAAAAATCTTTAAGTACAGATAAAATTTATATTACTCAAAAAAAAAAAAAAAAAAGAGAGAGAACTGCAGAAAAGGTTCCATTAACATTGAAATGACAATGATTCTGAAGAGTAAAAAATAGAAAGAATAGAACGTCAGGATAACCAATCAACAGCCCACCTTGAATTTGGTCATTACATCGTCCATTCTTCCAGATAACGCCAACACTATATATTTGAGGGCAGCACGTGCACGGGCAAATGAAACACGAGCACCCTAAAAAATGAAGACTAGTTATTTCCATATTAGAGGAAAAGGTGAGCATTGAAGAGCAAAAAAAAAAATGATGACACAAGCCACACTTAAGAGATTAGCAAAGGTCGCATATATAGTAAACAAATACTAATGTAATGATTTTCATTCTTTGACCAAACGGGAAGGACTAGGAATCTTAACCATGTTTATCTCTGTATCAGGAAATTCATTGTTACAAAGCAGTCTCCATATCCGTTGCGAACTTCACCATATTATGTCCTTATTCATTTTGATTAAAGTATAAATATTCTTCTATTTTTATATTTGGGGTCTAAATGATGACCATAACACAACAGTATTAAACCTGACCAGCAAAAAGCCATGACTCTTATTATTTTTCATCCTTCCTTAGAGTGCTATTATTCTCTGCTAGAAAACCAAGTACCAAGGCACAAGAATTTGCCTGTACAATTCTTGAATTAAGAGAACAAATCTATTATTCATTACCACTCCGCGACCCAAAGACACCTGAGCGGAGATAACTGGACTACTTCAGCTGGAATTTGTAAGAAGGCACACTTTCTGGTATAATTCTTTTTACAAATAAATATTAAATAAAAATATTGTTCACATTGACAAAATTGAGACAAAGCCAGTTTACTTAAGAATTTGTAAGTATTATTCCGTAATAGGATCTAGCCAAGAAGTCAGTACTAACTCAGTTAAAGGTGAATGAAAACTCTCTGTGGTTCAACTAGCGTTAACCATACCCAGTCTATTTCTTGTGCTTTCCAGCAATTGTCCTATCAGTTGGTAGAAAGATTTACCAATCTAAGGATCAATACTAAATTATCCGAATAAGTTAAATCTCGATGCATGAATACACCTTTCATGTCTTTAATCAGAAATCTTTTCCTATTGAAGAAACACCAAAGAAAGAGACTCCCTGGTTTAAAATCAATAACTGATGCTAGAACATGATTAACAATGTGGAAGAAAATAGGTTATACTTGACTCCCATAAAGTTTCCATCTTAAACTTTTAAGGGTTCACAAAGCAAGAGTAGGACAAGTAATACCATTTGGTATGCTTCTAAGCATGACACCTCCTACTAAGATCCAAGACAAGCAGAACCAGTTTCCAGTCAAGAGTCCTAAGCACAGTATGTTAGAGAACTTAACAATCATTAACATTATTATCTGCAGCAAGGGATACTGATCACGATAAAAATGACGCAATAATAGCATCAGTCCTTCCTACATACAGCATGCAACTGCAATCTGAAATTAGCATCTCAAATTCACTCCACCTTAAAATTCAGAATCTTAATGTCGAGTTCAGCAGCAATTTATCTTACACAGTAGTATGACTTCAATTGTTCAGGCTTAAACATAAATCACTTTATCTAGAAAGTGATCAATAATTCATGTTTGTAGAATAACCTAATACATTCAAGGATACCACAATTCAGAGTTACACAAACTAAAAAAAAGTACTTTCAGTCGCAGCAGATTAAACTTTGAAAATTAATGAGTAAGCAAACCTGTATTTCTCCAAAAAGATCTTCAACTAGCTCCACGGCTAAGTCCACCTGTATACATACACGACATGTGAGGAAGTTCCTTGATAAACATGATTACTACAGCATCTACCATTGCAGGGTTCAGTCAAAAGTATCGGATGCAACCTTCGCAACTATTAGAGCCATCCATGGGGCTAGCACACTACAGCACAGATCGATAAGCACAGTTGCCGCCTTAGCCTGCGAAAGAAGGAACATGCTAATGTGCCACTTGTAGGCAGAGAAACTAGTTACTAAAGACAAAATGTGACAGTAAACCCACCCCAAAACGTTTAGTGATATGTTACCAAGATGAATTTACAAAGAGCTAATTTTTTTCAGTATCAACATAAAAACTCTATATAGTCCATGCAGTATAGAATAGGTATATAAAGTAGAGAGGACACATCAACATGCTCAAACAAATATCTATTAGTAATGGATGCAATTCCCAACCATCATGAATGTATGCATGGACGCGCGCAGGATAAAAAGATAAAAGAATATTTGCATAAATTAGACATTAAATCATGTTTTTCGTAAAGGAAAAAGATGACAAAACGAGCTAGACTTTACATGTGAATTAGAGAAAGATGCCAAGTAACCGGCGAAAGCACGAAGAAGAGGACGATAGACTGATGAAGATGATGTTGCCACAATCTGCAATAGTTTACACAATGGTTATAAGGTTCCTGAAAACAAAAGGCACAAATAAAAGGCATGAAAATACTGAAAACCTGGTACAGGGCATGTTGTATGAAGGGTTGTTTCCACTGAGAGAAGCTATCATCTATCTGATCTGAGCTACTTATATAAGGGCGAAGTGCTACAAAGAAAAAATTCAGAAACAAATATAGCATTAGTGATCCAAAAAACCCAAGAGGAAACACCAAAAGAGCCCTATGCTTGGATTCCAATAGAAAATTTTTTAAAAATTAATGATTTATGAAAATCAAAAGAAACATCCAAAAGAAATCGACACTATCATTCAATATTTTTTTTATCAATGACGAGTATTCCTTGAAACGAGCCCAAACTGACTTCTTGAAGTGATGTCACAGACCTGGAAGCAAAGCTTGTACTAATGGTAGTGCCAGCCAGAAATCAGAAACATTATCTGCCAATTTATTACAGAGGACAGGCTGCAAAAGAAGACAAGTTCACTTTTTCTTACATGATGCCGAATGAGTAACATCATAACTTAAGAAAATCATATGTAACATTAGTGCAACCAACCTGGGAAGCACAAGCATAGAGCAGATGCAGAAGTCCCTCTTCCACCAATCCAATGTCCAAGATATTCATATAGTTTGTCTCCAAATGAATATCTGGAGTCAGAAAATCTTCTCCAAACAACATTGAGTAATCAAACAAAGAGTGGCTACTACAAGGCTCCGATTTTGATGCCTCATCAGATGTTACATGAGACATAGTAGGTTCATGCTCTACACCATCGGTCAACACCAACAATATCCTAGACACCTGAAACAGATCACAAGACAGGTTATGAAGATGAAAACACAATCAGCAACTATAAGACACATTTTCCAAGAAATATAAATTAGATAAAAACCATAATCAGGTAATCAGGTGAACAGTTTATCTCTAGTAGGAAGTTAGAGGAATTTGTGCTTCTCTTCATATTGAATTCTATCAGAATGAAGTTTCGACTTACAGCTAATGGAAATCTGGTCGTCTTTTCTAGTCTCATAAGATTATTAGCTCAAAAAGGACCATTTAAGAGCATAACAAATAAAAGGAATGCAACTTAAACAATAAAATAGCATAAGCTTCAGAGTTACACTCACATCTGACTTTTTTTTAAAAAAAAAGGACATCTGACATTGTAAATTAGCCTATCAATATTATTTGATTTCTTCGCAATCCAGTTCCCCCAAAAAAAGTTCGACCTCCAAAAATACAATGAAAGCGTAATTACCATCTTACAAACTTTCCCCAAAATGGGATCTTTATAAGCCATCCTAAGCAATGTCAAAATTATATCAGGCCGAAAAACCAAGAAACTGGATGAGGACGAGCTTGACATTGATGCGCTACGCTGCTTCCTTGGCTGAAAATTGATGAGACAGGGATATAGTCAGACCACAGTAAAGAAAACTCAAAATATTGCAAGAAACCGATAATCACCTCAAAGTTGGAGGAAACTGTGAAGGCCATAGACAAATTACTATTCTTTGAAGCTTCGGAGTCGGAGAGACTGCCTGCCACTTTCACTACTTCCCTGCAACGATAGTATTAGTTCCATAAATAAGCTACTCTTCACCAAAACAAACCCCAAAACAAGTTTCCAAATATCCAAATAAGAAAAAAAAAATTGTCAAACTATGACAATCTAATCTTTGACATGCAGCACACCAGCAAACCAACATACGCTCTCAAACAAATCAGAGGCAAAACATGAACAATCTCCTCAATTCCAACTAAATGAGTATACTGCTTTCTTCAGAAACTCACAAGATCTAAATGTCAACATCCTTGCACACCACAAACTTAAACTCACATCTCCCTGTCAGAAATCAGTTAAGAGGAGAAAGAACTTTCCGCAGAAGCTCATCATATTTTGCGTCTACATGGGGAGAGGAATGTCTGATAGTCAACATCTTAATGTATCTCTGTGTTCAAAAAAGGCTTTATAGAGACAACTCCCACAACTATTTCCGAAGGGTTTCTAAATAAATTAATAAAGAAGCTAGACAATTCCAATCATTTAAGCTAAACCAGCAAAGGAAATGCATTGGAAAGAAAGTAGAGATAACCCCACTACGTGATAAAGGGAGAGAAACACACTTAATGTCAGTCAGACAAGTAACGGACGTGCAAGTTATGTGAAGGAAACAATCATTTGTTCAAATTAACCGCAGAGAGGAAAACCTTTAAACAAACAAGAAAGATACTGTAAACATTAAGGCATAACTAAATTAAACCTAAATGAGAATACATGTTGGGTAAAATGTGAGAGCAAGATATGATTCATTTAGTTCCAAAGGACCGAATGCAATGCTGATGCAGTAAGCACTGGCCAATGTAATAAATACTCATGCAACTTTTAATTCAGGCAATCCAGTCCTCCACACGACAAGTGACCTACATCCTTTCAAACAACGCAACCCACCAAAGCGCTTTTCACGACTTAGTATTATGGGCTATCATAGTCAATTTCACGTATAACTTCTTAAAGCAAGAGAGTTGCATATCATATTAGTTACCAAATAAATGACATTGCAAACAATACATTTATTTACCAATAGTTTCCCAACCAGATCAGATTCTTACCATCTTCATGAATATACAAGCATATCATGTTGTTCAATGGATCTCTAGGGCGATAGTGATCATACATAAAACTGATGAAGCAGTAACAAAGAGAGCTAGGAATGGGAAAACATGAGGAAAAGTTCATTTTTATTTTTTCTCCTCCACAAACATGCCTTCATAAGATGCAGAAGATCAGGATTACAAAGATTATAAGAAGAAAAAAGATGGAAACTATAAAATAGAATTCATGAACAAAGAAAAAAGGCAGAAGAAGTAGTTAGCTTGAGGTTAAAGGTCAGAGGAATACATTGGCAATAAGCTCCCTCTATCAAGAATCATTAAAGAAATATCTTTAACGACAATTTTTAGCTTATTATTTAAGTAGTCTACATGAAAAAGTTAACAGAAGACAAGCATAAGCAATTAGCAAAGAACAGACCTATTTAAAACTTAGGGTGAGAGGAAATGAGACATTCAAGGATTGGTTTTGACAAAATACACAAACATTGAGCCACATCATTAAAGTTATTATGTCTTTCTTTAAGGAAAGGAGAGGTCATCAGCGTTCCTCCCAATCAATGAATTTAAAGAGGGTTCATTGTTGAAATTACTTAAGGCAATACAAAGCAAGCACCAAAATGGTTAGTGAAAGAACTTCTCACCTCATGCAGTATACTTAGTTCATAAAGTGCAATCTCATTAACATACCAAAGATACTGCTTCCCTAGAAAAATACTAATCATGAATTCTTAAGTGCCACTGGGATGAAATAAAGCAGAACATCGCTAGATTTACGCAACAGTAATACCAAACCAATATACCACCACAGACTTGTTTGGGAACTAACGAACAAGGAAGTAAGGTTTTCCTCTCCAAAGAGAAAAAAGGAAATGAACCTTTCATTGACAATGCGAAGAATTTGATAAAATGGGCCAGCAAGCATAGCAAGGAAACGTAGAGTTGGTTCAGGAGCCTCTGCAAAGTTATTAAGATCTGTCTGCACAATATCAAATTCACAGTAAGCATAAAAGTAGAATTTGGATGGAAGAAATCAAGAAATTCAACTTTGTGACCAAGTCAAACCGAAACTGCTACCTCTAGCTGGGGAAGGAATGTCACCAATCGGTTCGTCATGTCTTGGAGTAACTACCAACATGGATGGAAACATACATGAAAAAATTCTTCTATGATAGATAAAACTGAAGTCCCAGTAGTAGACCTATTGACAAGTTCAATCAAAATACATGGGTTTTACCTGAAGATGCATATCATAACCTTCTTGTTTGTGTGACATAATATGTGGGACCAAGTAGTTCACAACTGGCTGAAACTCTGGTTCAAGACCCGTTACTGATATCCCAATCAACTGCAGATAAGACACAGAAGATATTTGAGTGACAGTCTTAGTTGAACCACCAAATGCCCCAAATTCAAAACACTATATGGAAGCAGAAAAATAACTATAGTAGGAGAAGGCAGGCGGTGTTATGGGTACCCAGCAAAGCTTTAACGTACCAAAAAAAAAACCAACTGAGGTTTAAAACTTGCGCAGAACATTCATAACTAAAGGACTGCATCTTATTTGAAAACATCAGTGAAAGACATCACAGAATAACAGCATGTAGGATTAAGAAACACGGTGCACTTGGATTGAAAAATAAATAAATAAATAAAGAAGAGGAAAATTCAACATTTTCTGTACCAGCTCTCTTTTTCATCATCGATTCCATTAAACACCCCTTCAATGTTCGGCAGTAAAGCTCTACTCAAAAAGCCAAAGCTACTTTTTGAATGAAATTAACACAATATTCTTGATCTATTGAACTGTCCATTGCAAATGGAGCTGGAAGAGTCATCATTGACAATTCTTTTAGCTCTGAGCTAACAATGGACTAGATTAATATGGCTCTATTAAATTCCAGTACTTCTATTAGTGAAGTTGCTGGAAATAAATATATACAGCATTTTGTATAATTACAAGGGTAAGGCTTCACAACTTGGTCGGGGATATACTTGGTATGTTGATAGTGATGTATTCTTGATCTATTGAAGTCATGTGTCGCCCACAATTTATTTCAGAAAGAGGGAGAGAGAAAGAGAGAGAGAGAGAGAGTAGTACAGAAACAGCCACACCTTCAACAATGGACTCACCAACTCAGATTTTGAATGGAGCACACTACCATGTACATATAGCAATTTTGTTTTTGTTTATGTTTCTCCTTCGGATTTTAATGAAGTTTAGGTCGAAAAATTATTAAAAGTTGAATTGGAAATGTGAAAAGAAATAAAAATGGTGTGTTGTTTCTTAGATGCATTACGCGTATAGGTATCTGGATCTAAAAACCTGTTTGGTTTTATTGACAGCAAGACAGGCCTTAGACAATTATTATTCCACCTCCTGCACTTACTCAAAATGACTGCGGTACCATAAATTCCGCCAAGGGAATGATGTTGAGTTTACTTGACATCTGCCACAGTTATCATGACAAAGCAATTGAAGTGAAATACTTGGTCCTCAGAAAATCACTTGGTAAATGTCTGATATACATATTCAGTACAGCAGGGAACTTTAACTTTCACAAATGTTTCACAACACAAAGAGGATTCTTTTAAACTGGTACCAAGCAAACAACAAATATCATGAAGTTCATTCTGCATAATATGGTTAGATTTTCTACAATGCCATCATTTCAAATTCATTTCTGCTTAAGATTTTTTATGTCGCTCAGATTAAACGAGTATTTGGATGTCAACTTTAAGTTACACATTAAACCGTGAAAATATAACCATTGTTGACTGCGAGATGCTTTTGCCGTCAACCTCTTTTTGAAATGAATAAAAATTAATATTACAGAATAAAAAAGGGCCTTAAATATACCTTCATCTGAGAAAATCTACATGGAAAAAGAATAGAAGAGAAAAAAGAAAGAAAGAAAAGAAAAAGGGCTCAAATGAAAACGAAGCGATGATGAAGACACTAAAGACACAATAAGTATTACTCTTTTGAAGTAACTAATTGAAATCCAAATACGGAATTACGAAAATGTAAGCAAAATGAAGTCAGCAAAATCACTGTGTACATCTAAAAAAAGATATGCCAAGAAAGATGCAGGCTAACCTGAATAAAGAAAATAGCAATGGGGTTCCCACGCAGACAAGAAATACGAACGTAGCGACAGGGACTGTAATTCATTGGGTACAGAATGTCCCGTCGAGGTGCTTCACATCGGGGCCGAACTTTTAGAAATGTTTCTGGCTATCAAGGAAAACTCATAAGACAATCGAAAACGGAAAAAAATAATAAAAATAATAAATAAATTAAAACTAAAATTAAAATTAAAATTTAATTCGAACTACACAAGAAGAATCTACAGTCACCAAGGAAGAACTCAAAGTAAATTTCAAAAAATGAGCCGTTGACATATTTCAGACATATATATATATATATATATAGAGAGAGAGAGAGAGAGTGTGTGTGAGAGATGAGAGAGGACCAGCATAAATGCCAGTAAATATCTAACCCACCTTGTATCGCAAGCCCACTGAAACTTCCCATTCCAACACAGATTTATTATATATTCGAACATGTGAAAGCAGACAAGGTTCCTGCAGAAAGAAAACATGAGAAAATGAGGATGACAGGCCCCTTCAGCCAACCAACGTGCAATTACTTTTATTGGGAGGAAGAGTAAAAAATACTAGCCACAACTACAAAGAGGGAGAAAAGTCTTGCAAAGAACAGATAATAAACACTCAGTTAAGGAATTTCATGCTCCCTGAAAGCAATTAAGCTTGTCAAATGATTAACCCAAATTGCCAACGAATGTTAAATTCTGAAACAAAATATTGTCAACAAAATTAGGCTTGCTATCCTGGTTATTATAATAGACTTGTACGTCAAGTTATCCATGTTTCTAGTAATATGTTCTTACTAAACTATATAGGTGCACTCCACCAAAAAATTCGCTAGGAACTGATTTTCTTCTATTTCATTCGCTATCTTTTTTGATACATTACAATTTAATTCAGGCATTACATTACCAGCTAGACAAAAGCTCTGCATCTCCCCTAGAATTGCATTGGCCGACAAATTTTGTAAGAGTTGGAAATGAGAAAAAGAAGTAAAGAAATCACGGATGCAATTTAATGAAAACATTGGCTTTTCTCCTCCCTTCAAAAGCAAAAAATGCATATTGATAAATTAAAAATCATTAACCTGAAGTAACAATATTTGAAGAGAGAACATGTCACCTATACTGGATTGTACAGAGAAAAGTAAACTTTTACTCCAAAAAGAAAAATTAAAATAAAACCAACCAACTGCCACACTATTCCAAATAAAAAAATTCCACTCCGACCTCATTTTTATTTTTAAAATAAATAAATTTAAAAAAAAAATAAAAAAAATCTCTCCGTAGTAATATATCATGTGCTTATACGAGTGTCCGCTGAGATAATCAGCAATGCAAGGGGAACGAACATCAGCTATTAATTACCTTAGCAAGAAGTTTATTTATACATTTATACCCCAAGTAAAAAGGCCGAGGTTGAACATAATCAAAGAGAGGGCAACGACAACATTAGCTGCAATAAAAATAAAGCTTGTCCACCCAACTCCAGATCAATTATTACAGTAGGATGGAATGTCAGTCTCCCCAAGGATGCGCAGTCTTCAACCCAAAATAATGAAACCAGTAAACAAACTTATACAAAAGGATTTGAAATTCCACAAATCCTTTTAAGCGTCTCTCTCTAACTTCCTGTTGTTACTCTCTCACTGAATGCCCGTAGCTTACCAAAAAGATAAAAATAAAAATAAAAAATAAAAAATAAAGAAAAACAACCAGTTAGGCTATCTTCTGCGATCTGGTAGGTTTTTCTAAACAACATATAAGAATCTCAAAATCTCATCAAACAAAACTTTCAGATAGGTAATTACAGATGGGGGGAAAAAAGTCCAACAGAAACGCACTATATTAGCAATCTCCACAGCTCCTGTTAGGAGGACCAGAATATCATGAAGTTTATATCATCTATGTCCTTTGAGTAAGATTAGACTACAAGAACAAACTGCAGAAAGCCTTCAACCCACTATGAATCAAATTGGATATGTATTACTTCGTGAAGGCATTGGTTAGTAGTGACTCCTTAGGCACTTACTACCAGTTCGTAGACAAGTAGTAAAATTGCCTATGCAGTTGCAATTGCCTCTCCACTGCATCCTTGTAGACTGTTGTTTCCTCTCATAGAATACAGGTTAGACAACGATTCATGAGTACTTCACTTTCTAAATTAACGACAGAACTTAGATATAAAACCTCCCCAAATAGACGGTAGCGTCACAAACAGTGCACATGATAACTTCAACCATCTTATATTCTTAGATATGTTCCTTCCCTCTCAAGCAAAATTTGATCAAGAACATAACTATTGTGCCTAAACTGTAATTAACTTCAAAAACTTGGCGTGATCACTAGCGATAAGAGGTACAAATCTTACTCAGCAACAGTTTACACACATATAACAACAGTTTAAGCACATACAATATTTTACACATATATCCATCTTAAAATAACGTCTTTGGTCCAGTGTCTCTATTTTTAGTAAAAAAGTTCATAATTTCAAGGGGGAAAAACATAACATTTCCAAGTTTTCAATTTTTCCTGAGGGGAAATCAAACACTACAAAAATCATATTCACGGCATCATTAATTGAAACAACCAATGACTGGTTTGAGAACATCAAACATTTTTCAGTGAAAGAGTTAACATCTAACATTAAAGGGTAAATTCCCGTTATGATCGCTTAAGGCTTCACAAACTACCTCTCATTATATCTATAGTGATGAAGAAAGGACATATCACATGAACTTTTGTTGTAATATTGGTCATTAGATCCTTGAATAGGAAGAATATAGTTGAACAAAAAGTGATTACAAAGATAGAATAAAGTAAATGGTAAGGAAATCAAGTCGAGTAAACACCAGTAGCAGTTGATCATATAGTATAGTTAATCTATTCCACTTTCATAGACAGATCTTCCAGGTTCATAACTACAGTCAAAACTGAATTATCCCCGAGCTCTCAAGCGGCACAGGCACGTGGCAGCAATGCATAAAACTCAACACAGGAGTATTAAGCCAAATTCACAATGTAAGAGATGATTTTTATATGCATGGAAATTGAAAATGGGTATATGCCAACCACTACTCATATTCATCACAAGCTTCAGCAAAATCAATACGGAAAGGCCCAAAATAAATCAATATGTTAAGATTTATTAAGAATTCACACAAGTAGTATACTAGGTATTTGAAGTTTTTATATTTCTTTAAAAGCCCAAAAGTGGAAGCCAAGGTAATTTAGAGCAATGACTTCTGGAAAGTAGATTAAAGTTTTACCATTTTTATTGTTTGTAGAAAGCTCCATAAAGAATCTCGCAATAGATAGCTAAATTCAACACAACAATGATGGTAATGTCCAGTATTTAATTAGCCAAATTCTTAAAGTCGCGTCAAAAGCATCAATAGCCAACACCTTCCAGAAAGAGTAAGTTAATAAATGAGAAAGGGAAGAAGATTTCGCAGGGAACAATCAATACTAGTACAACCCATGTCCTTATGCAAAATACAACTAAAACCAAAAAAAAAAGGTGTTGTCACTTTACAGCCTATAATCAGCCTTCGTCTTCACGAAGGAATTATACCTGACACTCGCAAAGCAGAAACAGACAATGGAAATTGAAGTTAGAGTATATTAGCAATACGGTTTTGTAAGTGCTTAGAGTTAATTCTGTCTTTGATTCATCCCCAAATTTAAATAATCACCATTTTCAATTTAGCATGATACCAAACCAAAGTTAAGGATCAACATTGGTTTCCCCACATCAACCCCCCCCCCCACACACACACACACTCTTCAATCATTCCAAATTAAAGTTAATCCAATTGATTCAACCTTCTAATCTCATCATCCACAGTAAATAAACAAGTAAGCCAAATCCCAATTTCAGTAAAAACACATGGTCAGTGAACAACACCCTATTATAAACCAAAAAAAAGTACAAAACCAGTTCAGTGAGACAGAACTCAAAACGCAGAATGAATAGCATTATGCCAGAAGCGAAAAAATACATACATCAAGTTCAAGAAGGATCCACTCTTTAGTGTTGGTGCCGGTGGACCAATGGTTTCGAAGGTCAGCATCCAAGACATGTGTGGCCTTCTGGGTCGGTGATTCTCGTGAAATGCTCTTCACTTTGAATGCCAAAGGTTTTACCCTGGGCTCCAACTCCACCTCCATTACAAAAGTGTCTGCTACTGGAACTTTATCAACAATAACAACAACAAGGGTTTTGCATGAAAGGGTACTTGTAAGTAGTGATCAAGATAGAATTAAGCGACGATTTGGGATGCCTCGACGAGGATAAAGGGCCAATTTCAGATGAGCAGTGTGTGTGTGTGCGTGAAGCTGTGTGAGTTTCGATGAGTTGAGATTACTGAAAGCTCACTCTGCCCTTAAATTGAAATTAAGATCAATCGACTCAGTCTGGGTGTACTGGGAAAACGCCACCGGAAGAAATGAACATGGTAAAATTAACAATGGCGGTGGCGGGGAAGTCGGAGCGGTGGTCGGAATTTGAAGTAGACTTCGGTTAGATGGGCTGAGATGGCGGGGAGGTTTAAGGATTTGCCAGATAACGGCGTATTTTTTATTTTTTCTTTTTAGGGTAGGCCTTCTGTTGTTTTTATACGGAGGTCTAATGTCACTTTTAATTTACTCAGCTGCCCAAGTAAGGTTGCGTTTGATAATTACTAACTTCAATCACTTAATCATCTACTCCTCACCTATATTATAATTGCTGAATATCATTAAAGGTTTGCTAGTCCTCTTGCATGTGTAAATATGTGTATTTTTTTTTTTTTTTGTAATGTGAGAAGTACTTAATTAATATTGATAGAGATTTTTGTGTGTTTTCACTTTAACTAGATGCTTGCCCCAGGCGAATGCCCGGGGTATCGCCTGTATTTTTAAATTAATAAAATAAAAAATACGAATCATTCTTAAAAGAATAAAAAAAATTAGAAGAATAAAAAATCGATAAAAAGTACAGAAAGTGAGCTATTACACATAAATCTATGCCCAAATTTACAACATTTAATTTATAACAGTTAACTTATGCCCGGGTTTACGTAAATCATAAACCAATATCTACAACAGAAGAATAAAAAAAATCATCCTTAAAAAATTAAATTTCTTTCATGACAGCTTATTATTTCTCTGTTGTAGAAAAAGATGGATTGATAATTGATATCAGATTTTAAGTAATTTATTTAAAGACCCGGGTGTGAGAGAGAGCGGAATGGAAGAGATTCTTTGAAATTGAGATTGGGAACACATTACTGGTGTTTCACTTGATTTAAGGGGATTTCCTAGTATTTGATTTTATCTACTAAATATTGTTATTTTAAAGGATTAGTATATACCTATAATTAAGATATTTTTATGTAGCTATAATTAAGGAATTTATGTATTTATCTATTCTATTTTTTTTCTGATTAGTTAGAGTGCCACGTGTCAAAAATGATTTTGTACTGAAAATGGCTTTTGGCGAGAAAATTTTCATTATGGTGCTGACACATGTCCTTTTTGTTTGCTGCTTTAATTAAGTACCATAGATTACAATATATAACTTTAATCTAACTTTATGATGACAACCTTTCATCTCCTTCATTTACATCTACTTTAATCACAAAACAACATTAAAAATTTAATTTTATTATTGTAAATTTCTTCTTCTCTTTTACTCATCTCTTGATATTCTAATAACTGCTACATTCAGTTACATTTCTATTAAAATCTATAAAACACTTTACCTTTTCTAGCCTTCATATGCTTTAGTATTGTTTAAACTATTCGGCGTTTACATAGTGGCGAACTCACAGAAGCAACCAACCTCTTCAATTGCGAAAATTTCATATCTATAACCCCCATTATAACAAAAACCATTTTTTGCCAAAAATTTCACATGTCAAGATGTCCGTAAAAGTAGTCCACTCTTAATTCTCCGCAATTTTCTCCCCAAAAAAACACTGATTTACATCCTAAAATCTATCCATTTGATTACTACTTCATTCAGTTACCAAATCAATTTCAACTTCAAAATAAAAAAAAAAAACTCCCCTTTTTAACTTTTTTGAAACGAAAATAACTTCGTTATTTGAACAATAAAACTAATTTGATCAGCATTTTAACTCAAATTTCAAATTTTGTGAACTAAAAAAACCTCTCTGCCAAGCGAAGATAAGCCAGAGCCGCTCACCACTCACCACGGAGGTGTTCTCGATGAAAGTCATGTGAGAGTATTAACATCGAGTGGACAAGTTAGATGAATTATAAGCTTCTTCGCAATAGAGATGATAGTAATTTCTGCTCTCCTCATCATCGACATTGATTTTTTTAAAAAAAAATTAATCAATTTGTCATTGAAATTTGTGATCTTCTTAACTTTATTGATATGAAAAGAACTGATGTGGATGGAGGCAGCCCTGGAAGGGGCAAACTTGAGGGTAATCTACCAGAGTTTTACGAATTTTAACAAGTTTTCTTTTGAAATAAGCCTTCAGTAATACAAGCCCTTTATCGTGCCTGCACATATCGAGTGTCCTCTTCCCAACTCTTCTTTCAACACTAAATTGTACGACGATAGCAAATCATAGAGGTAATATTCCGTTGCTCGATTTTATTCGCTATTGTCACTCCTCTATGTTCTTCTTCATTGCTTTTGTACTCTGTTTTAGGATCAATGTTTGATCTTCTTTAACTTTCTCTTCACAATTTCCAGGATAATATTTTGACAAAAAAAAAAAATTAACTTGTACGACCAACACAGAAATTTTCATGTTTAAAAAGGGGTTAATGGTTGGGTGAAACTGTTGATCTTTTGAAAATGGATCTCGGTGATTTCATATGATAAAATCATCATCAAAGCATGTCGGCCAAACTTTTGAAGTTTTATTATTATTATTATTTTGCAGCGCTTTTTTGACATGATTAATTTATCAACAAGAGCCACATATGTTATATAATTTTTTATTCATCAGAATCTTGAATAGTGGTCAGATTCTAAGGATTTTGTTAGGTTGGACAGCCATGAAGATACTCAAGCTAGTGCTCTTAAAATAGAATAATAAGGTGCGAGATGAGCTTTGCTTTCTTCAAGAAAGAATTCTGACTGATATTCAACTGCACTTGATCATCATCATCATCAAGTAAAAAATCTGGAGTAAGAAACTGGAATGAAGATAGAAATTTTTTCTGGTAGAGGACGACATGGAAACTTATTTAGAATGATAGTTTGGACGATATAGAAATCAATGTCTGGCTTCTCATTTGTTTGTTTAGAACCTCAATTTTATTTTGGTAAAATATTGATAACTTGATCCCATAAAAAATACTGAGTGTTTGGAAACCTATTTAGAAGCCATTGATGGCTTAGTGCATCTCCAATAAAAATGGAATACCAATTTCCATATATGATTGAATTATGTGGAGTAGTACTTCTAATGGAAGAAATAGAAATTATTTTCTAAGTACTTCTTAGATTCTTAATGGAAAATATATGAATTGTTCTACAATGGCGTTTTTTTTGAAAAGTACGGGTGTTTTTTTTTCGCCACCCCCTGGGTGTGAGGCGAGAAACGTCTCGCCAGGCGCTGCCTGGCGAGATAACCGGCGCCGGTCATGTGCCGGCGCCGGTATTTCCTTCTTTTTTTTGTATTAAATTATATTTATTTTTTAATTTATTTATTTAGATTTAATTGTTATTTATGAATTGTAGAATAAATATTAGTAATTTTAATTTAATTGTTATTATTAGTAATTGTAAATCTTATGAAATTTAGTTTAATTATTTATTATTAGTTAAAAATTTATGATTTTACAGGGAATTTGTTTTTATTAGTTTAATTTATTTAGGAAACATTTTTATTAATTAATATGTTTAATCTTAAGTAAATAATTTATTTATAATATTCATATTTAGGAATTCATTTGTAGTTTTAAGGAGCTTCAAGTTTTATGAATTCATATGAAAGTTATTATAATTAATTTAATTATAGAAAAATATTTATGAAGGATTAGTCGGTTTAATTGTAGTTAGCCTAAAAGAAATGTGATACGTAGAAATTAAATATTTGGTATAGGAAAATTAAATAAATAAATACTAAGTAAATAAAAAAGAGGTTAGTAGGTAATTAGAGTTAATAAAATATTTATTTAATTTTAGTTAAAATTAAATAATAAATTAAATATTTATTTAATTTTGGTTAAAAATAAAAATATGTAGATAATTTAATTAATTGAAGTATATTTGGAAATATTATTATTTGTACTTAGTAGATTTAATAAATTAAACATTTAAGATGTATAGTAGATAATTTTATAATTATGTATTTAAATAATATAAAACTGTATTAAAGTAATTAACCTAAATTAATAATTTATTATTTAGGTTTTATTAAGTATGTATTAAAACTAATTTTTTTGGGACGTATTCAGGATTAATTAAAGTTACGTGTAAAATTTAAAACTTTTGTAGGATGGGATATCGCCTCTTGAGGGATCTAGACATCGCCATGTAGTTACGCGCAATCTGTATGCTGAACATCGTATAGAAAAAGAAAAAAACTTAAAGAAATTGAAAAATGTACATCCTACCTTTGCCCCACTTGGTGAATCAGCCAACATAGATGATAATGATGATTTTGAGGGAGAGAAAGGACAAGAAGAGGATAGTTTTGGGAGTGGGAGGGGGGGAGGACGATGTGGATGAGGAGGATGAGCCAGACGAGTATTCCTCGTCTGAGAGGAGAGATATACATTTTGGAGGTAACTTAGTATTGAACCCCATTGGTCGTACTGATGATCAGACTCCAGTTCACCCTACCCGGGGGAGGGGGGGAGACCCTTGTTGGATTATCGGCCCTGAATTCAGCTCACACTCCCTGTGTTTCCAGTGTTCGTGTCGGCCCACAGAGTACTCTTTTTAGAGGTCCTAGTACGACTCTTTATCATGCCGGCCCACAGAGTGCTCTTTGTAGAGGTCCTAGTACTACTCTTCTTGATACCGGACTGCGGGGCATTTTGTTTGGAGGTCCTAGTAGTGCTCTTCATGATGTCGACCCCCAGCATCGTTATGGCGGGACTTCGTTGCACGCCCTTAGACTAGTCAGCCTCGTTCCCGTTTTGGTGCCGCCTGCATTGGTGCCTCTAGCCGTCCTGAGGCAGCTGCGACGTCATCA